TGCAAGCCAAAAAGTTCCACAACACATTGAACTACCGTAGATTTCTGTATGTTTTATGTTTTACTGGTTTTTCATTAGGCAAACATCCATCTATCCGTTTGGTTTATAAGTCAAAGTAAAACATGCTCTAAGTGATAGAATAGGTCGGATAGGTCAAGCCGCCTTGTTACCTCCTCATCCTATTTGGAAAACAGTTGTGATGGGTAAACCCCAAAAGTCTTGCCCAAGTTTCTTATATGAAGAAAAAGTGCTGTGACCCCTGAGCATCACATGACTTCCAGTTTGATTTCAACAGAAGCATTCCAATTATTCGACAACACAAGCACAAATCTATTATTTTTTATCTTTATAAATCAAATTTTCTTTTCTGCTGTGTCTAGTACATAGACTGTAAATATGAATGGACAAAGCCTGAGTGAAGTCAACCATCTGTTACTGCAGGGTGCTCCGGAGTCTCAAATGCTGTCCCAACCTAACTTTCAGTCAATCTAAAGACAGGCTGAGAGCTGGAGCTGGCTGAGGCGGTTTTTAAAATTCCTGACAAACCGTTACATCACGCCCAACTGTCATTCAGGTCAGCTACGCACCTAACTATGGAAATCATTCATAAAATCAAATGGATGTGTTGTAAAAAAGAAAAATCACCCCCAATGAGGACAATAACTAAACATGTTACAGGCTGTAAACATGTTACTGTCTACTGGCTTTTTTGAATAAGTGTGTACTGTATGTAACTTCCTGAGCTCCTGGAGAAAACCTCAAGCGAACACTCAACACACTGCAAGGATTTTGCATTGGCTTCATTTTTCAAGACGAGGCTACTGCTTGGACTAGTGTCCTCAGCCTAACCTCAGGTTTATTGCAATGTTTGACTTTCGGTCTGATTTGTTTGTTTTTTTTGGTCAGCAGTGTGGGCCATATACCTGGGTGTGAGGCACTGAGTAATAACACGAGATGGTGACACTGTAGGAAATCAGCTAAATGGGTCTAAAGGTTTGACTTGTAAAGATAAAAAAAATGTAGTTTGAATCACCATATTGAGTGAGTTCAAATAAGTAAAGGAGCTTTGTACGAAATGTATTAATAAACTTTGACTGAAAAAAAATACAATCACAGTTAAATCAGGACTTATTACAAAATATTTACACTACAAAAATGTAGGCTATTCAGTAATTTAGTAAAGGCCAAGCAGCTAATTAATTAGGCTCTGAGGCCAATGAGACGATTATTCCAGCCATGCATGGGAACTAACAGGATAAAGTAATCTGTCATTTGGAGCCAATTAAACTTTAATTAAATGTTTAAAAATGTTTAAGGTAAAATGTGAACATAACTGAGAGCTGTGTGAAATAATCAAGGATTTAACAGACCTCTCTACTGAGTCCAGAGAGAAGCAACAGCAGCAGGGGAATTCCAACTGAATGAGGAATTAAAAATGATTTCACTTTAACTGCCCTCCCTGTAAAAGTAAGATCATTTTATCTTGTTTGCTTTCACTCTTCTCATCTCTCGTTATCTCCTCATCGTTATCTTTGCAACCGATGTGGAAGGCTACTGTAACAGTCGAGCAAAACAAGTTGAACTCTAGCCTTGGTTATCTAAATGAGATTTCTTACATGCTCTTTTTTACAAAAAAAGAGTTGTTTGTCTCCTTTTTGTGCTTTTTAATCATCAAGTTATTTGTCGGTTTATCTGAATTTTCTTATCAAACTAATATCTCACATCAGAGCAGACTAGTGCTGATACACTATGCCGCTGCCTTGGTTAGAAATGGCAATCTGGTGGCGCCCTCTTGAGGCAGAGTTATCCACATGACTATAAAAACTGCACAGGCTCAGAGGGAAACACCAATGTAAGGCTTTACACACTTTGCTTAATGCAATCACAGCTAGTGAACACAGAATATTTGAAAGCAGCTTTTTTCTGTTAATAAAACCCCAGCAATTAAGAATAGACCCTCATGAGAATTATAATTGCTTTAAGGAAGGAGTTTAAACTAACCTGAGAGAGTTCAAAGTTGATAATCTGTCCTTTAATATTTCTTCCAAGATGAAGTAGGATTCTTACTTTTTGCTTCACCATTTTACCTGCACATTTTAAAAAGAAAACAACTCTGAGACAAACAGCATGCCCTACAAATTCATAACTGTTTGTGTTAGAAGACTTTGCTCTTCAGATCTAAAAGCTGAGAAGTTGAGAATGTACGGACAGGGTGGAGGCAAGCTGAGGGATGGATGGATGGATGGATGGATGGATGATAGATAGATAGATAGATAGATAGATAGATGGATGGATGGATGGATGGATGGATGGATGGATAGATGGATGGATGGATGGATAGATAGATGGATGGATGGATAGATGGATGCATGGATGGATAGATAGATGGATGGATGGATGGATAGATAGATGGACGGATGGATGGATAGATAGATGGATGGATAGATGGATGGATAGATAGATGGACGGATGGATGGCCCAAACTGGGAAATTGTGGTGGTACCTACCCAGGTAAAGCAGCAGGTGGAATGACTCGAGGGTTATGGAGACCAAAATGTTGTCATATTTCTCAAATAAAACCTGGAGAGAGAAGTTAGAAGAGACTCAGATAAATGGGCAGGTAATTGCTATGGAACAACAATCAATGAGTTATATAAAAAACATACTGAAGAGAAAAAATTGTTAGTTAATGAACAACTATACTTACTGCGTGTAGTCGGAGGTTATGTAGAGTTTCTCGTGGTCTTCATGGCTGTGTTGATGTCCTCATTCATTCACTGTAATGATGGCAGGGCCACCTCAAGGCATAGGCAATGCGACAAGTTGAGGGCGCTGGCATGATCCTCCGAATGTTTTTGAGATCAGCCTGGGATATATTATTAAATGCAAGTCTACTGCCAGACTTACAACTGTGCTGCTGACTGCTGACCAAAGTTACGATAAGAGGAGAAATGTGTGAGCGCTCAGAAGGGCTGTGCATCGTCACTGATCTCCCGATTCGATTCGATTACAATTATCGGGTCAACGATTCGGTGAGACAAATGGGTGGTCCAAGTGCATTAAATGAAGCTCTAGTGTAAGTTCACTCAGGACACCTATATAACTGCTTTCACGATCGGGTCTTTCTCATTCATCTTTTTTGCACGCTTACTCTCGTTTTCGCTGTAATTTTCTGGGGCTGTCATTGGCTGTCCCTTATTTTCAACCTATCATCGTTCCGCTCCCCTTTTAAATATGATTCTTTCTCTCCCTTCACAGTTCCTTCATGCTGATGTTTCGTGCGCCCCTCCGCCTCCCCGACACCGCCATCTCGCAGAATCATCATCCATCATTTCTCATCAAGTCATCAGCTTCACCACCACCAGGGTCTGGACTCCATGGGGGATCTGCCTTCGCTCAGAATTGTCATACTCCTACACATCGCCCACCCCATAGAGTCCAAGCCCCAAAAATATTTCTGTCAAGAATAATTTCCATATTTCACTGTAATAAATAATTTTCTTTATTCAATTGTCTCTCCTGATTGAAATAGAGTTTGTTCATCAAAAAATCCCTCATTTGTCAATGATTATAGCACACTGTCACATTTTGTCTTTAATGAAATATTAAATAATTGTCTCTCTATTGGATTATCCTAACTATATAATCATGTTATCGTATAATGGAATATGAATACAGTTTGCTAAGTGACCAAAACCAAAAAAAAGATTTTGCGATTTTGAGTAGGCCTTTAGTTGTTGCCATCTTAAAATGTTACCCTATTAGGATGTTAAACTCTTCAGTTATCACTTTTAGAGCTTTGTTGTAACTTACCTCTGTGGCAATGGGGTATTTCTGTTGTACAACAGTTAGCTATCTGTCGGTGTTGTAAGGTCAATTTACTTTCTCCTTCTAGCAATATCAACAAGCCTACTTTAAAATTAACAAAATCGGCGCCAACGCAAAGTAGAAATCAGATGGAATAGTCCATTACACATGAGGTTGGGGGGGGGGGTACTGTTGGAAAATTGAAAAGGTCACTTTTAATTTTGTGACAATAAAGTAACAAATATCAAAATATTGGGGGGCAGAATTTTACGAGGCCCCTTGCCGGACGACACCCCACAAAAAGTCTGTCTTTACTACCCTATCTCGGGTGAAGAGTCCCTAAACTGCCCCAGCAATGCCCCTAATCTGCAGTGAGGTTGCAAACTGCGGAGACACCACTAGATGTCGCCGTCGATTCAGTAAGAAACAGGAACCCAAACAAAGAGGGTCAGGCGATTTCAATTAATATAGGATGTAGCCACTTATTATAAGAAGCCTCTTATTTTGTAGGCTACATAAGCTTTAATTTGAAATACTCGAGCGTTATCCCTTTTGGTTCACAATTTGTGTCATTGTAATTTAACCAAAGAAATAACCAGACTTGATCAAAGCAAGTTGCTGTTGCTTTTGTCAACCAAAGTTAACCAAGACGGGAACTCCATATCTGACATATTTAATAGAGTACTACTGCAAAGTAGGAAATTAAAGGAAATTATAAAGCAGACAAAAAAATGCAAAAAATGGCCTACTTGATAATTAAAGAAATAAGCCCTTACATAATCTTAAATTATAGTCCGCCTGCTCTGTTTGATTGCAGACATTGTAACATTCAGACATTGGCCTTATAATAAATAAAAATGATTAAATAAGTGTTTTTATTGGATTAGATGATAGTGGGCTCTAGGTCATAGCCGAGGAGTGTCATTGGGAGGATGTGAGGGTTCTGGGTGTAGCTGCAGAGGGGCGTGTCACCACACCTGACTCCACCTGAGCTCCGTATGCTGCACAGAAAATGAAGCAGCAGGTCGGGAGCAGCTGTCATCTGTCAACAAGCGCCATCCGAAGCCTTGCCTTTCACTCTACAATTTTTCATTAGCTTTTTAACGAGCGGGGGAAAAAAAATAGCCTATAAAGTCGTTTAAAGACGAAGTCCTCCTGTCGCCCCCTCGGGTACATTTTACCCTGCAGCGGACATGGCGAAGAGTTCGTCCAGAAAGTCTCTGAAAAGTTTGTTCTCCAGGAGCGAGGCGAACCTGCGCGACTCGGAGGCGAGGGATGTGGACAAAAGTGAAGGAGAGAAGAAGAGGTTTCGCTTCTTTAGGTTCAAGAGAAAGTCCAACAGTGGCTCAGTCTCCGTGAAGCCGGGTGAGACCCAGCAGGTATTTCTCAGGTATGTTTTGCAGAACATTCAATTTGCTTGTTTTCATGCCTGCACATGTGTCATATGGGTTCTCATGGAGGAGCATCTGCAGACTCTACAGATATAGCTTTCAGATTTAATTAATTTCTGTAACCTACAGCTGCTTTGGAGGATGTTAATACTGATCACTCTTCACAGCAACACACCTGCTTTGCACAATCTTGTAGGCTGTCTTGTTTTAAGTTGTAGACTGTGGATGTTTTCTCCCTTAAACCTCCAAAATAACTATTGTCCAAATATGATTGTAGAGTCCTAACCAGATCTCATCATACAGGAATGTGCCCAAATGTTACCTGCAGATTCTGTAACATTAGGTCAATAATAGCGGATACCACCATCAAGCCATTTGCATTTCCTTAGATGTGCCGATTATTCAGCTGACAAGGATTTAGAGAGTCCCCCAAGGACATCTCTGTCTAGACAGTAACCTACTGTTGAAAGGGGTGGTGTGGGTTGTGAAATAAATCATTATGAAATTTTGCAAAAGAGCACATGGAAATACAGTGAAAATAAGCAACATGTAGTTCTCTGAAAGCTTGCAGATCCTTTAGAGATTTGTAATCTTTGAAAAACTGGAGAAGAAAGTCTACTACATGTACTGGCTATATTGCTTCAAAGATTAGGCCTAATTTATTATTACATGATTGCATAGCTCTTAATTTAATAAATTACATAAATGGTTTAGTTCGAGAAACATTCTCTGGTCCGCAGCTTCCTAATATAAATATTTTATGGTTTGGTATTACAGGCTTCTCGATAACGATTTCTTGGAGTTGTAGTCGGGCAAACTACTAAAATAATTTTGGTCTCGGGACGCTGTGTCAGATATCCCCTCACTTTTTTTCTAACACTTTAAAGGCCCCGTTTCATCAATTGGTGTTGTGGTTAGTCCCGTGTATGGAGGCTGCAGTCCTCCAAGAGGGCGGCCCTGGTTCGAATCCGACCTGTGGCTTCCTTCTCGCTTATCATTCCCCACTCTCTCCCTCCCAAATTTCTGACTCCATCCACTGTCCTCTGTCTCTAAATACAGGTATTAATGCCTTAAAAGAACACACACAGGTTGATTAATCATGAAAATCAGCACCATTTGCTCAGTTTATGTTAAGAAATGCAGTTGTCGGCAAAACAGAAAGATCCAAAGTTACACGTAGAGGCTGTCTGGTAATGGAGATATGATCTGTATCAAAAAACATGTATGCATGACAGGGTACCAGTTCAGCCATCAGCACTTTCAGTCATGTGAAGTGCTTTCGGCAGTTGGGCAATAAAGACATCCCTCTGAACAGAGCCAAAAACACCATCTGCTAACTATGATATTCAGGTGTGTAAACAACACATGGCACTCAAACAGGTAGGCTAACAATGGGGACGTAAATCAACCTGAAAATTTGATCCTTAAATGTGTTTCTGAATTTCTTAAAATATTTGTGACTAGCCTGACTAAAATAGACTTCAATAGGTAAGTCAGACAAATTTTGAGAATCCCAGATATACAAAATCGATCTGTATTGTACCATTTCAATGAAGAAGAACACCACAAAGTAAACAAAGAGCAACATTGCAACAACTTCCAAACTCCATTTGATCTGCAGAGTCCCTCTGCACCTTTAAGAAAAAGCTGTTCTTTTATGAATACCTACTAACTTAATGATGATGGTCTCCATATTATTGATGATGATGATGGTTGTGACGATTGTTTTTCTTTTATAACGATGACTTATAAGATGGTTTCTATACTGATTAGAGCTCTCAAGAACTGCCCTCAATGTTGTGCTTTGTCTCTGGTCACTTCCTGTCAGCACCTGTGTGTCCAATCGGACTCAAAGCTGATCGTTTGCTCTTACTGACATTGTTCCCTTTTTTCTAGATCCTTGCTTGTGTTGTACTTACTCTCTGATGTACGTCACTTTGGATAAAAGCGTCTGCTAAGTGAATTGTAGAATTGTAGAACATTGGATGTGATCTCTAGGAAGGTCAGCACCTCTAATGTCGTCCATGGGGAAGTGCAATGCGCTGACATTAGTTGGAGGGGGGGGGGGAAACAGCCTGAAATGATCTTGAAAATCTCTCAAAATCCAAGGGGATATTTAAACAAGGGGAGTTTTGTGTTTGTTCTTTATTTCTGCTGTCGCACAGGAAGTGACGATTCTTTTCACCAATCAGCAGATTGCTGTATGTCTAGCTCCAGCCTTTAGGGTTGGATCGGTACGCTGGACAGCCCAGGGAAGCATAAAGAAGGACGGTACGGATCAGTTATTTTAATACCATTCCCAATGTTTGACGGTGGAAACGCAGATAAATGTGTACTGTACCCAACCGAACTGGACAGCTTGGTGGAAACAGGACTTGAGTTCATCAGTGCCAGTCTGCGGACTGAACTGATCCACTTCATTGAGCATTCCTCTGGTGTGAATGTCACATGGAGAAAGACATTCAAAATAGGTTCAAGGTTTTTTTTTGGTGTGGTTATTATATGAAGTTGATTCAACATTTACATTTAGATAATGTTTCATCAGGTCACCCTTAATTTAAAATTATGTTTGGGTCATCTCTTCAGCTGTGACCAGAGCTGTTTTTGTCCCTCTGAACTAAAAATTATCACTTTTTAAAAACTTTACATTAAAATTGCTTTAAAATGTAGTCTTTGGACTCCAGCCAAATAGCAGCAGGCAAACATTAAACACACATGTGCGTTGATAGTAGGCTACCCTGGCAGCATGTTTAGCATGCTAATGCTGCAAGCTAACTTGTTAAAAAAAATATTTACTTTGTCTGGTCAAACTAAATGTTCATATCACACAAAAGGAGAGCAAGAATCTCTTTTGGATATACTGTAAGCACATAAGGGTTAAAAAGTAAACAGTCAACAGCTATAGCTAGCTTGCCAGCCTAGCTTGTCTCAGCATCATGAAATCTAAATAATGGTACTGACTTGCTTTCCTTTCTTGAGAGTACAAGTAAGAGTATGTAGATAGAGGTATGATGTTGCTCTAGAACACCTTTAAAAATTCAAGTGTGTGGAAAGACTCAATGATTACAACCTCACCATATTCACCTGAAGTGTTTACTAAGGGGTGAAGACACAGCACTCTATCAGCAAAGTAAATAAACCCACAGGTGAGGCAGTAAGTTTATGCAAGTGTCATGCTTGGACAGGGTAATCATGTTCGTTCAGATCAGACTGAGTGACAGCCTGTGTTTGCACAGGAAACAAAAAGAAAACAAATGATGGGGTGAAACTGCAAGAAACCGCCTCCGCAAACAAGGGCTGCACACCGGGGTCACACGAGGGTAGAGTTTACCTGTGAACACAGGACAGTTTCTTGTTGAGATAAACAAATATAGTAAGAACAAGATCATGATGTTATTCATTTTAGGACTGGAGTATGTTATGACAAATTGAAATGAATGAAAAGAGTAATGTTTCAATTTACTAATCGGCCGCTCACTTCGCTTCTTTAAGGTGTAATTAGATATTAAATTAGCCTCTCCATTGCATTGTATGAATGTAGTCAGTTATTGTTGACCTTGTAGACGACTGTCCCAGATCAGAGTTAAATCCAGACATACAGCAAATTTGTTTTTGTTGTTAAGGATTAAGTTTTAATCCTCGTCCAAGGTTTTATCATGCAAAGACTCCTGGATTGAACAGTCTGAGAGACGCGCCTTAAAGTGAATTTGTTTGTTTTGACTTCCCTGGCGTTTCACACAGTTCAAGAGGATGTCAAAGTCAAATCGGACATATTTGAAACTTAACCTCTGCTGTATGAAATTACAGATGAAAACCTCGAAGTTCTCTTTGCGACCACACCCTCAGTATCAGTATGTGGTAAGGTCTGTTGGGCTCTAGAAGCCGAGCTGTGGATTAATGGAGGTACTGTAGAGAAACCTGCCGCTCCACATGCCGACCGCATTTTCATGAAACCACTAATCAATGACACTAATGCGCACACATACCGTCATTGTGCAAAGAGGTACAGGTTGGCAACATCTTTTTAGTCACAAGTGAAGCTCAGTTGTCTTTACTCCACTGAGTCTACATATCTGACATTATTCAGAACAATCATAATGAGTCACTCACTGCACTGTGGAACCTGTGCGCTTTGCTTTGGAAGAGCAAGACAATTAACACTGGTTACATAAAGGGAGAGTTTGCCTTAGATCCACACACAGTAGAAAAAAGGTTTTGGGAACTTGAGTTTTTTTGGGAACAAGACGGTTGACATTCACAGTCGAATTCTAACTCATTAGTTCTCTTTCGCAGCATTTATAATGCCAGTTCAAGGTGGGATCTTTGGGCCCCTGTAATATTACCTCTTTAGTGTAGATTACACATAACAACGGGGGCCAATGCTGCAGTCATGTGCTGCTTGGGTGGTCCAAGTTTCCAAGTTTTGAAGTTGTCGTTCTATAGTGTGTGAGTGTGTGGCAGACTGTGCATGTATGTGAAGCTACCACTACTCATTTAAACACGCTTTGAGTGTCGCACCTTCACAACCCTATAACACAATTTGCCATGTCATTTGTTGAAACTTATATTATAAAGCATCAGAATTAGTACAAAGGTGGAATGAATGCTAATGTTTTAGCCTGCTGTATTCATATCCAACTGGCCTTGTCGTACAGGACCTTATATTTCTGCTTTCTCTCCACAGATCATTATAGGCTACAGCCTTTTTTTTTTAAATAGTACAGACGTGTTTAAACAAATTTCCTGAAGTCCATCCTGAGGTGGAATTTGGCTTTTCTTCACTTTTGTATGGCCAACATTGACAGGCCAGTTCAACGTAAGAGGAATCCGTAGACATGAGTTCAGTGAAGGTAAAGAATCTTTGTCTTTAAAAATCAATTGTTGCTGGTAGTGACACTGCTGTCAAGTTAACTTTTTTATCAGTCCCATTCAGTCAATTTTTCCCACTTAAATGGTGTTATTGTTCGCAAATGCCCGGAAATGCAAATCTTACACAATATATACAATCTTTAAGTATCAGTCAGACGTAAGGTATAGTGGATCCCCCATCTCTGCAAACAGTACAAGGTAACTTATTGACAAAATATTCAAATGCAGTAGTTCTGCAGGTTTCATCAGTGTGCAAATATTCCAGGAGCAGCGAGCCTTCATGAGCTGTTCCTGCAAGGTTGTGTTTTCATGTTTGCAGGAGAGGCATGATTATCCTGCCTGACTCACTGCAGAGGATGTCAGTGCAAGCTGCGGTCATCCTTTGGTTGTGTATATGTCCAAGGCGTTGTACTGTAAGCAACATGACTGAGGTAATGAGTCCCAACACCAGTTAGTTTTTTGGAGAAGCTCTTGTGTGATGATAGTAGTAGAACCTCCAGTCAAGCTCTCCTTTGATAACAGAAACATTAAGTTGAAATTAAAGCCCAATAAAAAAAATTCCATTGTGTTCATGATGACATACCTTTTCCTAAACACACTTTAAAACAAAGTAGAATGACCTACATAGTTGTCTGTCATGCCTTGAGTTCTGGTTGTGCATGTGTCACATGCTTGGATACAAAGACATGCTTAAATAGGGACACCAAGGGAACATAAAACTGTTTTAGCTTCCGCCAGAAAGTAGCCTAGCAAGTAAACCTGGCTTTAAAAGTGTTATTAATGCTAAAATAACTCAATGGGACATTTAGAGGACATAGTCATTTATTTTTTTTAACAGATTTTAATACAATTGGTTAGCCTACCCTTTCTTCTCTTTACAGTAGATGTAGCTATAACTTGCAGTTAGCTTAGCAGAAAGACTGAAAAGAGTGGGAAAAAGCTAGCTAAGCTAAAGGCGACACCTTCAATAAACTTAATTAATTGCTCATGAAATGTATTTAGCTGTGGCTAGGAGGATATATTTTTTTATAACATTTGAGCAGAGCAAAGCTAGCTGTTTTTGCCATGGTTACTGTCCATATGCTTAGCTAACCAATAGCTAACTCCTGTGTCACATTTACTGAGAGTGCGTAGCCTATCAGGATTTGAAATAAACAAACGATAGGCTACATGCCAAACACATAGACAACAAACTCTTCCTGTTAGCTGATTGATACGTTGAGCCAATAGTAGCCCATCTACAGTACATACAAACATTCTGTGGTCTGGTTGTAGCAAGTGTGTGCTAGCTTAGATGCATATATGTAAGTTTTACTGCAGTGAGGCCTCTCTTTAGCTCCCTCCCCTTCACTCTGTGTCTCTCCCAGTCCTGTTCTTATGCAAACAAGCATTCTAACATTTTACTACACTGCCAGAGAAAGCACCAGAGGCATTTATATCTCTCAGTTACATCCTGTTGAACTAAATACAAAATCAAGACGCTCATAACATAAGATTTGTCAGAATATCAGGTGTTGCAAGTTCACAGAGTTAAAGGCTTTGTATGTTCCTGGGTATACCTGCGTGTTGACATGTCAACAAACATCACCTGGGGACAAAGATATGACTCATCATTTTTATCTCTGGCCGTCTAAATGAAAACAAAACAGCTTATTAGTCTCTGACGCTGTTAATCACCTGACTGCTTTAAGGGCTTTATATGCGCACTTAAATATTTTTCACACTTAAATATAATAGAAATCAAGTATATCCTCTGAAAATAACTCTGTGAGTCATCACTGTCTACAATGGGTGTAACACCCGAGTCCCACTGTCTGTGATGTTTTCAGAGTTTTCTGAGTCCTATCTATAGTTTGTTTACATCGTCGGGACGGCCGGCTGACTCCTCCCCTCATGTATAAAAGTTGTTTAATTGAGGGACTAGAGAAAAGAAGAATAACATACTGTACTCACTGCTTAACTGTGTTTCTAGATCACGCTCATTTCGGGTAAATTTACATGCAGTGTGAAGATACGAGCGTAATAAAGATCGCTAGCATTAGCATGCTAACACAACAGTGCACCGCGAGTTGTTTTGGTTTCATGCTGGTGCTCAAGGGCGACATCTGCTGGATCAAAAAATCACATATAAAGCCTTTAAGGGATGCAGTTTTGCACCAAGAAAGACAAATACAGACATTGCATGCTGTTTTGTGTGTGTGTGCGTATGCAAGTGTGCTTGTCTGTTTGTCTTTTTGCAGGTGTGTCTATCTGCACCCACTGTGTCAACTCCCAACTCGTGAAGCTGCATTAGGCTTTTAAACGTGGATTGGTCAGAACAGCTGACACAAATTTAGGAACAGTAAAAGGTCAAAGGTCTTCCTGATTAACAGAGAATGAAATCGTGTGTGCTCACTGTGTGCACCCTCGTCAATATGCATGGTGTTTAAGATGACACTAAATTATGATGCTTGTTACTCATGTTTGCTTGTCAGTTGGCTTCCTGTTTAATCCAGTTGCGCAACGGAAAACATCTTTTGTGTATAAGGTGTCCTTTGTAGACATTATTTGATGTGGTGACAGCTTATCATTATTTATGGCGTGTCTCTGTTGACTTAAGCCCATGCAGCCTCACACCGATGCCCGCTTCATAGAACATGAGCAGGAAACATTTCCCAAATCCAAACAAAGTAAAAAGCCATGTTGCTTCACAGAAGCATGTAGATGTTAGTGCCTTGTATTGTGCATTTCCTGTATACAGTAAGTATTCAGTTTATTTAGGAAGAGGACAGTGCAGAATAATAAAACACATGATTATACATGGGTCAAAATACCAGAATTAGCCAAAAGGCTACTTTTCATCTCTAGTCCCCTGGCCTCGATGTTAAAGAGGCTTTTTAAAATTAAAATAAACAATGCGATAAAGGAAAAGAACGACAACACGAGCCGAAGAGAACAAAGTACTAGTGCTGCCAACCTTGACCTGATCCAATGGTTTGTGTTTCTGCATTTTGGTTGTTTTTTCCAGTGTTGGAAAATGAAGCCAATGTGGAAGTGCAAAAAGCTACATTCTTCAAGTGTCCGCCTGAGGCCGGCTCCAAGAGCCCTGGAAGTCACATACACACCACAGCCAAAAAAAGCCAATTTTTACAGCAGAAATTAACATTAACAACCTGGTACAAAAAAAAAAGATATTTGTCTGATTTAGTTATTGCCCTTGCCCCTAACAGATGGATGACGTTACTCGGGCTTCCTCCATTAATATTTACAGTCTATGTGATTGACTCACTCGTGTGGCCATGTGAGGAAGTGCAGCTTTTGCTACTCTGCATTGACTTCAATAATCAGCCATGGGGTTGCTGCTTGATTTTTAGGTCACTTGTAATGTAGCTTCTAAATAGAGTTAATGAACATTGAATTGACTTGGAAATGTTAAAATGCTGCAGTCCTCAAAGCGGGCAGGCCAGGCTTCAAATCTGACTTGTGGCTCCCTTCCTGCATGTCATTCCCTACTCTCTCTCTCTCCCCAATTTCTAACTCTACTGTCCTGTCTATCTAATAAAGGCACCATTTTTTAAAAACGATCTAGTTGGAATGATTAGCCTTTGTTTTACAGAAAAGTTCATTTTACACGGACTCTATTCTCATGAACAAAATATCATTCTCTAGCCGGTTCTGGCAATGATTGACTGCTTTATTTTGGTAGGCGACATATTTTCGCTGCACTGAGGATTTGCTGTGGGATGACATGTGTCGACATGTGTTACACATGTAAAGTTTCCCTGATACACTACCTTGATGTAACTGTACAGTACATGGACCAATACTAGACTGTGTGCACTTTTTAAATGCACTTTCCATTTTCTTTCTTTCTTATCTAAGTCTTTTTAAATATTCATTTAAAAAACTTCTTTTCACTTGGAAGCAGTAAGTAGTGACTCCACTAAATCCCACTTTCTGTCTCTTTGTCCTTCAGTCCTGTTGTTTCTGGCAAAGAGGATGGAAAGGACTGGGCTGAAAACAACCTCTCGGACAAAAAGAAGACTTCTCTCTACGCCACCGCACCCAGATCCAAGGTCAGTCCAGTAACTTTCTTGACAAGTAGTTATCAAAATGACCAAAAGTCTGCCCTTTTTGACAACAGACGAGGAAAAAGAAACTCAGGCAGAGTTTTTGTTTTTAAAGTGTTTTTGCAAGCTGCATGCCCCCAAGGATACACTTGTGTATTTAAACAGCATCATAAATGTTCATGGAACCATGGTGTAGGTGATCGTATGTTTGTTTTTAAAGGATTGCCTCCAGGTTTTTTTGCATAACATATTCAAAATTTAGAGTCATAAACCCAGCATTCCTCTTATTTCTGTCTTGTATAGAACAGTAAATATTTAGTCACCATCAAATAATGTAACCTAACAGGAGTTAACTTGCGGTAAGAAATGTTTTGACACGTTTTACCAACAAATAGTGGTCATCAAAAAAATGTAATTTTGGGTTTATCTTTTCAAAATCTACAAGATGCTATTACTATATATTGTATTTTAGTCAACAACAGCACACAGCTGAGACTGACATGACTGTACATAAAGGTAGACACTGCATTACTGTACCTGCTCCTCTGGTTTAAAAAAAAAATGAAGGTAAAATACCCTGAAGTGAGCTCTGAAATCTTGCAGTGGTAACGTCATTTGGAGTCTTTGCAGCACAGATTTACTCGTGGCTAACCGACCAACACACAACTAATTAACCAATTAAACGTGAAAGATCCCTCGAGATGGCACCGATCTCATGAATGTGTCCTCTTGCTGTTCCTCCTCTCTGCTACCACAAGAATGCTGCAGGAGCCGCATTTGTCAACAGAGCTGTCAATCATGTTGCAAGTCATTTTATTCTCACTTATGCTCACTTGGACATAAGTCAGCATGATATGAAATAACTTAAATGATAAAACCATGTTGGAGCCAAACAATTTTGACACGTATTTTAATTCTATATTTTATTCTTTGACACATGTCCCAGCTGTTAACATAGAGGAGGCGGGCTTTATTACGTATCCAGTCTACCAAGGGATGTTTTAGATGTTTCGGCTTTAATTCTGACAAATTGGTGCATTCATGTGGTTTCGGACACATCGGAAAACCAAGTTTCTGAGTTGTAAAATGCACATGATCACCTGCCCAAGTCGGAACAACAACTCGCAAACTCTGAAAAGAATTAGGTGCCCGACTTGACGTCAGAAACGTCATCACATCAGGGGCAGAAAATGTTTTGTTAATGTTAACAGACTTTGTATTAATTCACATATTGCACATCAACTTTTTGCTCAAATATACACACAGTGCAGTCTTTTAATCAGTGGTGATCACATTGGTGAATGTGTGTGGTGTGATGGAGGCAAAAAAAGACAATAAACTAAAGTTAGTGTTGACAAGAGAGACTGAGAAGATATCTTAAATACTGAGGCCCAGCCTGCCCAGGTGCATGACATCAAATTATCTAGCTCCGCCCCTTACTACCTCATGGCAACCTGAGTGGTGAGCGATGCAAGGCAACAGGAGGAACACTGACACAGTCAAATGATAAGGTGTAAATGCAAAACAGTGATCATAGATGTAAGTATGCAGTTATATTGAAGAGAGCTGCCAGTGTGCAAAAGCAATCATTAGTGTTGTGCAAAGCTGTTCAGGTGCAAGTACGTCCACACAATCTATGGCACTACCTGATAATGGCAGGAGGCTGAAAATGGCTTACTAATACTTAGAGATGTAATGTGTGACATTTTTATTCTCTATAAGAAAATAAAACAAGAGAAGTATTGGTGACCCATAGTAACCTCTTGGGTTTTCCTCTGAAGGCTCAGCGTGAGAAAAGACAATAATTAAGAATAAAATGAGTCAAGCTAAACAATTAAGATCAAATCAGCTGTTGATTTAAACATTTGGAAGCAAGCTTCTGTTTCTGAAACAGGAAAGAGAAGCTTATGTCAATAAATCATCAAGGTTATGGACTAGAGCTATAAATCAAGCATGTCAGGCTTCTGACAACAACCTTTTTTTTTCTTAATCCTATTTGACAAGTCCGTCTTTGCAGGCCATTGTTTGTGATACTTTGTTTGTTTTTTTCCCAGGACATACATTCACAATAAGATAATTATCATTGTTGTATCTCTTTAATTGTTAAAAATGAGCCTTTTCTTTTGATGAAATCCATGTTTCTGTTTTAGTGACACGCAGACAGCAATACATTTCTGTCATGAATGTCAGACTCTGTTCAGTCATCCTTGGCATCAACATTTATAACAGCTTTAATTACAGGGCATCATTGTGACCGCAATCATGAGCAATAAAAGTATGTCAGCTATTCTGACAAACTTGGCACTTGCAGGCTGATGCATTTTTATAAGTTACTGCTGAGCACCTACTTGAGGGTCGCCCCCTTGTGGTGGAGTGTTACCTGTTTCCTCATCAAGTTTGGCACAAATATCCACTCTGGCTCTAGGATGAACAGAGTCGAATTTGGTAGTCAAAGGTCAAAGGTCAGCTAGGTATCTACATAAAAAGTGTGCCAAAAATCAAGGATTCATGATTTTGATGCGATTTCACACAAATAGAATACATTACTAGAATGATACCCAAAAATGTCAAAGGCACCATCTTTGACAGCTGTGGCTGTGGCTCAGTTGGTAGAGTCGTTGCCTCTCAACCAGAAGGCCGAGGGTTCAATCCCCAGCTGAGCAACACGTCCGTTGTGTCCTTGGGCAAGACACTTAACCCTGAATTGCTCCCACTGCTTCAGTGGCGGTGTATGAATGGGATTAGTTACTTCTGAGGTATGGTACTACATAGTGACCACTACCATCAGTGTGTGAATGGGTGGGTGTGACATGCAGTGTAAAAGCGCTTTGAGTAGTCGGAAGCTCAAGTCCATTTACCATCTTTGTATCAGCATAATGTCTTGTCTTGTCAACTTTGATTTCAACACCAATGACTTGTGACTTCACTTTGATTTGAGTCTAATGACTTGAAGGTTTAATGTTGAGGTTTTAATGTGTCATTTTAGGACCCTATGACTCGGTTAAAATGGCATTTCATTCGGTGAAGAGAGCTAAGGACTTGTTTAGGACTCAAAATTCAAAGGTTAGCACTTTTGACTCGACTCGAGACTTGCCTGTCATTAATTGGGACTTGACTGGGGACTTGAGACTGTCCCACCTCTGCTCAGCAGTCTCGGAGGCTGCAGGATGATTCTCAGTTAAAGCATGATTTAACGCGTTTAAATTCACAATCAGCTGTTGTCCGTCAAATGTTCCACCTTTTAAAATGTGTGATTAGCATGGAATAACAGAAATCTTTGATGATCTGCAGTATTTCCTTGAGATTATTATTGTTTGGCTTTGTGAGTAACTGGGGGCACATTACAGTTTTTCAGGCTTGTATGTTTTTCTCAGCACCTTTTAAGAACAGGTCAGAATAAAACGTGTCTGAACTAGAATAATCTTGGGGGCTAAATTTTGTGTCTGAAACATGGGAAAACAGCCCCTTCTGTGAGGGAGACACACCGGTTCCTGCATTCCATCTGCTTGGCTCAATCTCCCTCGGGGGGTCTTGCTTGCAATATTATGAACCTCTTACACTCACAAGCATGCTCTCCCATGAAACCCTTTTCTTTATTAACTGCAAATTAACACAATTTTGTTTCTCCATTTTAATTTAACTACCTCTGGACTTAATCAAACATTTTGTAATCTTAATTTAGTTTCACCTACAAAAAGAGACTTCACTTCAGGTTACTGCAACACATACAACTCTCCTGTAGGGGGCGCCAAATCTCCCAAAACAACACAAACAAAGCCCACTGTAACTGCTCAGTCTGATAGGATTCAACGTAGTTGCAAATGATGGTTGCAAAATATTCAATACAAAAATGTTTATTCCCTCCAGAAGAGGGCGCCAGAGCTTTACTAAACAACCATACTGAATTGAAGCTCAATTACAGTGTGATCTGACTACTTCTAAGCTGAGACCTGCATGACAGATGGCTTGTAAATGTAAATTAATGTCTCTTAAATTATACATTTTAATTCAGCTGTGTTGCAGAAGCTATGTACAGTTCAGCATATGAGTTTGAAATCCAGGTAGTGTGTTTTGTAATTGGTGTTTAGCACTCATGATAGCACACAAAATAAAGTAATGCTCAAATAATAAACAGTAATTCACGACAGGGAGGCGGCACAAAAACACAAGATGCTGAATGGTGTACAAAGCTTCTGCAACTCGTAACTGGGATGTGGGTTCTTAAAAAAAAGTGCATTCTACTTAAAACGGGTGATGGACTCAACAAACTCATTTTGAATTCTGCGCTTAACACTTCCCTGTGTTGTTCTTAGCCATCATGTCACCTCAAGGGATGCATACTTCATTCCACCCATCCATTTTCTGTACTGCTTATACCATTTGGGGTCGCCGAGGGCTGGAGCCAATCCCAGCTGCCACTGGGCGAGAGGCGGGGTACACCCTGGACTGGTGGATGCTTACTTTTAATATCAAAAGTATGTTGTTGTGCAACAATCTTCAGTGACTCGGGTGGGGTTGAACTATATGCATCATCAGTAGAAAAGAGCATCTTATGTATTTTTTTTTTTTTTTTGGAGTGGCATGATCCGCTCGGGATCAGGTTTAACACCAGCAAGGAATTCTCTCGTTTCTTTTTCCTGCAGTGTTGCTGTCTTGCAGTCTTTTTTTTCCTCCCTATTCCCTTCAAATAGCTCCCTTTACGATGACATCAAATCTTCCTATACTTCCTATACTTCCCAGCACACAGCCTATGAAACGCCATGTTACGTTATAGTATCAAACAAAAGCGCGTTGAAATTGACATTTTTATGTGGAATGATTTTCACTCACTGACTTCGGTGAGTGATGTCATTATAACCATCCGTCTTTATTTCAACTCTAAATTTGAAGACGTTCTCAAAATGATGCACAAAATAGAGTTTTCTGACATGTTGGTTAACTTGTCACCTGTCGTTAAGAGGACCAACGACTTCTCTTTTATAGGAGCTTTTAGACAGGTGATGGATGTGCTGGATTCAGAGTGCTACATTAACAAAAACTGTTGTGTGTGGCTGTTTATCTTTCCATTAACAGACCTTAAAATCTCTGCTTCAGTTCCACTCTGCAGAGTTAATCTGTCAACCCACTGCAGACTCGACTTAAGACTCCTCTTTGATTGTTGTCTTTTGCTTCATCTCAAGCCATCCAAACTATCCATCACAGGAGGAGGAATTTGAGCAGGCACACCCAGTTTTAAAAAAAACTGGCAGGTGGCAGCGACAGACATCCGTGTGTTGTCATTGTCCTTTGTCATCGTCGGCTCGAGAAAACATGCACCCCGTAATGACCGGAAAAAACAATCGTCTTTATCTTTTCAATCAGGGTTTGCCTGCATGAGCACACCTTTAGTATCTTCTTTATAAAATATGTGATGAGGAAAGCCTGGGTGATGACAAGTGCTCTCCTGAGGTTTTTTTTTGTTACACACTTTTAGATTTTGCCATGTTGAAGATTTGGTCAAATATTTTTTAAAAACTAACAGAATTGGCCAATTTTATAAAAACATTAAGACGTTTTCAAAGGCGGTTATACCTTAACCTCAAAATTTGAGATTCAAAACAAAGCAGCAAGTTGCTCTTTTATATATGATGATGATTAACTATCTCCCTCTCTGGCTGCATTTCTATTAGTTTTAAGTCTATAATACACCAAAAGCTTCATTATAGGGGCGCTGATGGCCTAGCGGTTAGCTTGCGCCCCATGTACAGAGGCTACAGTCCTCCAAGCGGAGACGTCATTCTACACTCTCTCTCCAATTTCCTACTCTGCTCACTGTCCTATCAAATAAAGGCTAAAAACAGCTTTTATTGAAAAACATGCAACAAAAAAGACATCACATTTGATATGTTCGAGGGGTAAAAGTAGGGTAAATCTTAGCAAATAGCAACAAGGTTTATCAGATCACGTTGGACTTGTCTGTCGTCAGGGTGGAGCAGCTTTTACTGCTTGGAATGAAGTTAGGGTGTAAACCTTTTTTGCTTGTTAGTAATTCTTGGAATCATTTTTCATTATGCAATATCCTCATTCTTACTAATGAAAGAGGTAGTGTTTGGAGGGTCTAAAGTAGCTCTTGACAAAGGTTTCAATCAGTTACATGTGTTTGATCAGGTCATGTTTATTTAGTCACAGGTAGAGTTTGTGAGATCCATTATCTTATTTTGAAAAATGACAGGAAGAGATTTTCATAAACATACAAGGCCATAAAAGTTACAACCCCATAAATCACAGTAAACACTGCTCTTAAGCGTTTTAAGGAATGTTGATATTCAGGATCATGATTAAAGATTAACTTTGATGTTTTGTGTTTTCCTTTTTTTGCATTTCTTCCTCCCTCTTCTCCCTGCATTTCTTTTCCCCCTATCCCTCAATGATCCTCTCTCTTCATCTCAGGGTAAAGAACTCAGCTACTCAGAACTGGACCTCCGCAAGCCCAACAAGTTTGCAACCTTTTCTCTTGGTCTCAAGAAAAGGAAGAAGAAAGATGAAGAGAGTTTGTCTAAGAGTGCTTTTGGCCTTCATAGCACCGGGATTGAAGAGCAAGAGGAGGTAATGCTCTTCCTTATCTCGATCTCTGCTAACTTGTGAAATGTGGGGCCACTTATGCAGCTGTATGTTCATTATCTTTTAAACATAGCCTCTCTGAAGTTAATATAAAATGTTTCTAAATGTCTGTACCACCAGTTCAGGGTTAAGCATTTGTTTTTCTGAGATAAACACCAAGGAGAGTCTTTCAAAAACCCAGAAGGTTCTTTATCAACACTCACAGACGTTTTAAAGAACATGGTGGCATTGTGGGAGTCGAAGGGTGCATCCGAATTGTCCCTCCTATCTCCTTTCACTCTCCACTTTACCTTAACCCCGGAAGCAGTTAAGTGGCGGCCATGATAAGAGCCGTTCGAATTCTCTAAAAGTTAAGGAAAGGTGGGTCGATGCTTCCTTTATCACCTCCTTTAGCATAGGATACACTGGACCATCCTTTACCAAAGGAGATGAGATTTGACGCCCCACAATTCCTTGCGGCCGCAACATTGAAAGCAACTCGCGCATCCGACCGTTCACGAACATTAATGATGATCGTAAAGTGACACAGATCATGTAAGGGATAAAAGATAAGAGACATTTTTATCAGATGATGTTTTATTCAACATATTTCATTCAATTCAGAATGTTTTGTGCATTTCTTCAGTTGTACATTCTTGTCTTGCATACATGTAACAATTAATTTCATATTTATTTTGATGTTGATTTATGAGTGGACAGGAAGCTGATGGTTTCACTTTTCTTACTTGCAGCCCGGTAGTCTATATTTCTTTTATTTCAGTCCCAACCTTTTGAAAATTAGGATTATTTCACCGGTAAGAAGGCACAGAAAGAGTTTTTTAGATGCGTTTTTTGTAGTCCATTTTCGGAACATTGTAGTTTCAACACGGCAGACCCACGTCATTAACCTCCGCCGGCCCGTCGCATTTAATGACGTCACCTAGTGGAAAATGCGGTCGGATTCTCCTAACATCTTTCCTTGACCTCATGACGTTTTCGCGGGGTTAAGGTAAAGTGGATAGTGAAAGGAGATAGGAGGGACAATTCGGATGCACCCTAACACTAAAAGAAGTCATGAAACAAAAATCGAGTTTGGAATCGGCAATTGGCTAAATTGGTATTTCAAACATCTGTATCGACCCTGACTTTCCCAATCGAAGCAACTCTAGTTTTAAACTATCTTCTGGCAAAGTATCCAAATCATGGATTCAGCTTTGAATTTAGCTGTAATATCAAAAATGAATAAATGGGGGGGGGGAAAGGTGATGTGATCGTTTGCTTGTAGTCACAAAGTTACAGAGTATTGCCCATTTAATCTGCGTTGTCCCCAAAAACTGTGAACCTATTACTGAGTTTTAACTCAGTTTATATGTCAGGTCTCTAATCTCACTGGAAAGCTCTAAAAACTAAACTGTTCACCACCTTTTAGCAACAAACAGAAGACAGACATAGCTAGCAGCTAACTGCTATTAGCCTAAGAGCTTGATGATCCCCTCTGGAGAAAAGTCTGAAACTAAGAACAGAACCATAAAAAGAGTCAATATTTGGCTTGTAATCATCAGGTGAACATGCACCTGATGATGCTGCGGGTGTGTTAATAGGATGTTAACAGTTTTTTAACAAGTTTGCTAATCAGCACATAAAGTAGTGACTGCTGATCGGAAGTGGCCAAAGAAGTTTAGCAGGTTCAGGTATTCTCTTGAACCAGTAGTGGGTGTTAATTAACAACCTGTAGGGATTTTGAAACACCACCAGGGATTTTTTTTATGATGACATAACATTCTGCCCCATGACTCGATTACAGGCTAATAGGGATGGTGATTGTTATTAAAGACAAGATGACAATACATTTTAAACAGAACTGGTACATGTATTCATATTTCCCCCCCCCAAATAACCGTATTTCTTCTTCACATTACTTCTGAACACATGTATGGTCGTTTTACTGACTCGTCCTAGCTAAGTTTGGGCAAGCTTTTTTTTTTTTTTGAACAGAAGACAACCGAAGCTCATTTTGGTTTATTTAAACACTTTAAACACAATCAATGTTTGTGCACTAGTGATTTGATTCATAAGACATGACTTCCCTTTATTTATGGAGTTATGTTACAGGGCAGACGAAGCTCCATAGCAGTATCAATAAGCTCAAACGTTATTGTTTTTCATGTTTTGTAAAATGCCGAACCAGGTCCTTTTTAGAACTGTGTTTCAATCCCCATCCCTATGTGCCAAGACAAAAAAAAAAAAAGATGCTAACTTAAGAGAGCGTATCCAAGCCTGCAAATGATTTGTACATCCATAAAGTCCTTTTTACTGTGAATTTAATACGTGAAACTGTAAATGAATTTCTTCTAGTCTCCTCCGGACCTCCGTCAGATGGAGTTGGATAAGGCCGTCAAAAAGACAATCAGTATGTCTCAACCTGAGCTTGACACCAGCGATACATTTGACATCCCCTCTCCTCCCCCTCTGGCCCCAAACCAATCAGATTCATACTTCGATCTACCTGAACCATCAAAGTCATCTGTCGCTATAAACACCCAACCAGAGGCAAAGACACCTCTAACAAATGGTTCCAATTTTCTTGATATACATACAGAGCCCCTTAGAGCGCCGATTGCGACCATTCCTGAGCTGCAGCTGGATAGAGCAGACTTATCAGATGAGAAGGAGAATATTCCTGTTCGAGATAACTTGGCTAAAAGTTCACCTGCCCTCTTATCTCGGGCAGAAACCACCTCTGCTATTGATAAGCAGACTCTACCAACCCTCCAAGCCAACGGGCCTCCAATGGGGCTCGACACTGCAGAACTCAAGGCAGCAGTTGTTGACTTAGTCTCTCCGACTAATAGCTTGAGTGGCAATGACTCCCTTCTGAACACAAAATCAGAACCTGCGGAATCCACCAGAGTTACGTTACCAAATCGTCAACCGGCTGCAGAGGACCGTACAACTCTAAATGCTACGCCCTCCCTGGCGGCTGTTAACTCCAACGTTGATGCCTCTGCTTCAGAGAAAACTCCCAACCCGGTCACCGCAGATTTGATCAATCAAAATAAAGTTTATGGAGATTTGTACGAGTCCCTCTTCCCCCAGAAGTTTACCTCTGAGGTAATGTCATCCCTCTTAAACCCTCCACCTCAAATCCGGACGGAGATACGACATCTCAACACTGAATCCCAACCCGCCGCGGTTAAGTCCTTCGATGAATGTCGCACAGAAAGAAGCGCCTTGTACTCCAGCCTGTCAACTTCATACTCTGCTACTCGCAGCAAGGACTATATTGAGAGAGAGGTGATGCCTTCCAGCAAGAATTACAAGTTAACTTCTTACCAAATATCCACTACTTCTGAGATTCAAAGAGACCCAGATATCCACTACAGATATCTAACTTCCTCTCTGAGCTCCAAACCAGCCGACAGCTATACAGCCCCTTACTCCGAGCTTACGCGCTCCCTTTCAGAGGTGAAACCAGACAGTGCTGGCCTCATTCAAGACCCTGTCACACCAGCCCTTGTGATACAAAGCTCTGCCCCTCCCGCTTCGGACTATGTAACATCCCAGGGGACCGATACTCAGGTTACAGACCCCAAACGGAGAGTGATCCTGGTCAAAGAGTTAGTCACAGATGAGGTGAGCTCTGTGCCTGGCTTTGCCTCTCTTGGGCCCGAAGCAAAAATGGATTCAGCCAAGGATCTCGAGTTGAAAATCGAGACGGCGACGACCGTTTCTGCCGCGCCCCCCGGACATACGAGTGGGCATGAAGGGCTGCAGAGTCCAACATGTCTGAGCGTGGGTTCAGACGTCAGCAGTGCCGTAGACATCTACTACAGCGCCGAAGAGGACAACATACAGGACAGCGGGGATGAAGAGGTGTTCCCAATAGGTAAAAAAGAAGAAGTTTGCTTGGTTGACAGGATGAAAGAGGTCGTCGGACTGCGAGGAGAGTATCCGCAGAAAAGGGAGATGGCCGAAACAAATATAAGCAAGAAGGATGTGGGAGGAGTCAGGGTGGAAATTGTGAGAATGCAGAATGAGGGAACAAATGAAGAAAAAAAAGAGGATATCCAAAGCCAAACTGAGGTGTATCAACAGAGTTCAGATACCTGGACGTCTGGGTTTCTGAAAGACAATAATGCAAAGACATATGAGAAAGAAGTCACAACTACAGTGCATCCAAAGGTAGCAGAAGAGGTGAAAGAGGCCGTTGGGCGAGGTGAGGAGTTTTCAAAGCAGGGGGAGATTTCAGAAAGACACAAAAGCCAGACAGACGAGGGGGGCGGAGGGTGGTGATTGTGAAAATGCAGAGTCAGGAAAGCAATGACGACTTGAGCCAAGCTGAGGTGTATCACAGAGTTCAGAAACCTTGAAGTCTAGGTTTCTTGACGGTAATGATCTGCATAATCGGGAGGAAGAAGTAGCGATTACAACATTATCAAGAGCGACAGAAGAGGTGAAAGAGGTTGTCGGGCTCAGGGAAGATTTTTCAGAGCAGGGGAAGATTGAAGAAACACGGATGAGTCAGACGGATGAGGGTGGACTGAGGGTGGTGATTCTCAAAATGCAGAATGAGGGAACAAATGACGCAAAGGTGGAGGATACTCGTAGCAGAACTGAGGTGTATCAACAGAGTTCAGAAAGATGGACGACTAGGCTTCTGGGAGACAGTGAGGTCAAGAGTCAAGCAAAAGAAGAGGTGACAGAGTTGACAGAATACATTGGGGATTTGTCAAAGCAGGGGCAGATTGCAGGAAGAGAGAGAAGCCCGACAGAGGAGGGGGGGCTGAGGGTGGTGATTGTCAAAATGCAGAATGAGGGGAGCAATGAAGAAAAGGAAGAGGATGCGAGTAAGCAAAGTGAAGTGCAGCAACTTTTAAGAGAAACGTGGACGACTAAGTTTCCTGAAGGCAACGATACAAAGACTCCGGAGAAGGAAGAAGCGTTTCTAGAGGCGGCGGAGGAGGTGGATGGGACTGTCACGCTGCTTAAGGAGTTCTCAAAGCAGAAGGGGGAGATTGTGGAAAAAGAAACTAGCAAGAGAGACAAGGGCGGAAAGAGGGTGTTAATTGTTAAATTAAGCAATGAGGGAGGTGGTGAAGAAAAGATGGAAGATGTTGGGAGCCAAACTGTAGAAAAAAGTGACAAATTTAGTGGCCAGAGTTCAGTGAACTGGACATCTGATGTTCCTCAGAGCAATGATGCAAAGACTCAGAAGAACGAAGAGGCAACTCAAGTATTTCCAAGGGTTGAAGAAGAGGTGAAACAGGTCATTGGGCTGCTTCCAGATCTCTCAACGCGAGTGGAGAGAGCAGAAAAAGAGATTAGCAAGAGAGATGAGGATGAAATGAAGGTGGTTATTGTCAAAATGAACAATGAAGAAAAGATGGAGGATGTCAGTATCCGAACTGAAGAACCCCAACGACTTAGAGGTCAGAGTTCAGTGATCTTGACATCTGAGATTCTTGAGAGCAATTATGCAAAGACTCAGAAGAAAGAAGAGGCAACTCAAGTATTTCCAAGGGTTGAAGAAGAGGTGAAACAGGTCATTGGGCTGCTTCCAGATCTCTCAACGCGAGTGGAGAGAGCAGAAAAAGAGATTAGCAAGAGAGATGAGGATGAAATGAAGGTGGTTATTGTCAAAATGAACAATGAAGAAAAGATGGAGGATGTCAGTATCCGAACTGAAGAACCCCAACGACTTAGAGGTCAGAGTTCAGTGAACTTGACACCTGAGATTCCTCAAAGCAGCGATGCACAGACTCAGGAAAAAGAAGTTCCAACTCAAGTATTTCCAAGTGTGGCAGGAGATGTGAAAGAGTTAAAAGAGGTCATTGGACTACGTGAGGACTTCCCAAAGATGGTGGAGATTGCAGAAAAAGAGACAATCAAAGGTGATGTGGGCAGCAAAGAAGAAAAGAGGGATGGAATAAGTAGCCAAACTAAAGTGCAACATCACTTAAAACTCCAGAGTTCAGAAACTTCTCAGTTTGTTGAAGGCAAGGATGCAAAGATACAGGAGAAAGCTGAAACAACTAAAGCTTTTCCAGAGGTGGCAGAAGAGGTGAAAGAGGTTCTGGAGGAGTTCTCAAAGCAGGGGAAGATTGCAGAAAAAGAGATGATGAGCAAGAGAGACAAGGAAGGCAAGGATGAAAAGAAAAAAGAAATCAGTAACCCAACTGAAGTGCAACAAAAGTTCAGACTCGACAGTTCACAAACTTGGACATCTACGAAGTTCAGAGGCAATGATGCAAAGACTCAGGAGGAGGCGGTGGCAACGACCGCTTTTCCAGAGGTGGCAGAGGAGGTGAAAGAGGTCATCGGGCTGCTTGAAGAGTTCTCAAAGCAGGGGGAAATTGCAGAAAAGGAGATGAGCAAGAGAGACGAGGAAGTCAAGGAAGAAAAGAAAGAGGAAATCTGCCAAACTGAAGTGCAAAAACACTTAAGAGAAACTTGGACGTCAAAGATTCCTAAAGGCAATGATGTGAAGCCTCAGGAGGAAGGAAAAGCAACCGCAGCATTTCCTCAAGTCAAAGAAGAGGAGCGGGAGGAGAGAAAGGACGAGCTACCGGCCTCACCGGTCGGGCAGGTGAAAACTCTGATGGCATGCGACTTTGCTCCACCCTCCAGCGAGCAGCACGGGTCGGGGGAGGGGTCGGAGGGAAACCGGACCGAGAAACGGGAAACAGAAGCCCACCACTATGGAAAGCAACAACTCCCAAGCCGGGAGGTACAATATGTGGCCTTCAAGGACGTAAACAGCTTTGTGCATAATCAGACTGCCTCAAGTAACCTGAGCACAGAGAAGGAGCGGATCACACCTTTATTTAAAGAGGCAAATAAACGAGTTTCACGTCTTGCAGAGGCAAACACGAGAGTAAAAGTGAACACAGAAACCACCAGTAGCACGACAACAAGTGCACTCACAGATACCTCGGGTGTAGTGGAGGTTGTCACAAGCAGCACAGAACTGCAGTCAGACACCACGGGGATTGAACACAATAGGGCTCTGCAGAGTAAGATCGAGTGGGCGGATTCAATTACTCAGAGCGTAGACACAAACAGGACAGTGCAAGAACAGGTGGCAGTTGAGCTGTCAGTGCTGAACCAAGACACACACCTTCCCGATACCCAAGCTGCAGAGAGACGGGAGCAACCGGCAGAAACCAAACCTGACCTGAATGAGGGGTAAGTGCTCAGTCCTTTTTATATATGTTATTGTTTTGAGTCCAGTTGTGCTATGTTACTGAAGAATATGCGGATGAACAGGTTTAGTAAAATACTTGTGAACTTGCTGATGATGCCGGCGATAATGCTCAAGTTTCAAGATCATGAAGCAAAAGTGCAACAGTTTTTTTGTCAACGTTGTCCGAGGTGTCGTTTAGGAAGTTGAAGCTTTGTTGTTACTTGTGCTGGTATGTACCACATGTTAGCCTTAGGGGTTTGTTCGACACCTTAACTAGCGGTGATATCTTGTTCATGTAAGGTGATGTGCTTAGGCAGCCAAGATGTTCGGCTCTACATGGCTGACCATTACTTTCATGCCTTTAGAAGTGGTGTGATGAGTAAAGATTTCCCTTGATAAAATGGTCACCGGAATGATTACCAACAGAGCTGGATCTACATACTAGTTGTGAACACCCTTATGTACTGAACCACATGTTGAGAGGTATAACCTATTTTCAGTGATTGTCACATGACCTGGAGAATGCGAGCCAGTCTGCAGCTTTTTAAAGAATGCTTTTCTGATGATTGACTTCAAAGAACTGCTCAATCTCTGATCAAGTATGGATATTGACAGCCAGTGTGTTTGTTTTTAATGATGGGGGGCTTGGTTGGGGTAATTGGGGTTACTTATGCTAACCTCAGCTGCTGTGTTTTCTGCTTACAAATCAAATTGTACCTCTTTTAATCTTTAAGCATAATAAGTCAGTGTGCCCGACCTCCACTCTGCAGCTCCCCCCCCCCCCCAGTTCACAAGTTCATTGTTTGGGTCACTTGTCTCGGCCTGTATCAGAGGATCTGCATGGGGGATCATGCGCTCTGATCAACCTGACGATCACTTTAGTAAATCTTTACTTTGACAAACAAACACTCATAAGACCAAAATTCATTTAAGCCTCACAGCATGTTCTGAAACCTGTAGCGCAGGGTTACATGCCAGATGGCTCATCTGCTTGTTAACACTTCCATAATCAAACACGCTTATGTTTTGGCATCGCAGCAGTTTTATCTGAAGCTGGCCTTTGACCAAGCCTTTAAAAAAATGCAGGAACAGTTGAGACTTCAGGGGAAATTACAAGGAAATGAGATGAAAGTTTAAAGTTGTGATTGTATAACATGGAGGGGAACTTTGCTTTCTTTAATGCTGCAGGATAACTTCTTACATTGCAGCATGTTTGATAGACATTTAGCCGTGTTTTATAGATTCAGCTTTTCATACTGCTTTGAATGTGTCAAAAAGGGTCAACAGGTTCAGGAGAGCATAGCTTTCTTTATTGTATTGTGATGATGTCAAAAGACAGATCTCTGAGGATGATGAGGTTGTCAAAGGAATTTGATGTGAGAGTTTGATGCAGCTGCAAAAACAAAAACACAACAGAAAATCTTTAGCCTTACTGATTTTTTTTTAAACGCTGACACATCACTTTTCTTTGTTAGTTTAACATATTTTAATCTGCATGACTCCTTACTTCTTCAAATTATGTATCCTTAGTTGGTGAATATGCTGTACTGAGTATATCTTTGCATCCTTTCAGCCACTAGATGGCAGCACACGACTTGGCTTAAATGACAGCCTACTGCTGAAAGATGCAAAAGGCGCACATCCCCACAGCAGAGAAGTTAGGCTTTACAGATCATAAAAGTACACCTTTTTTTTAATTATAGGGAAACAAGAGTGACTCAAACTAATATTTGTTTATAGGCCAAATCAAATTTTTTCTGAATATTGTTTGAAATCCGTGTTTTCCAGACACGGATTTGCATCAAGATTTTTTTGTTTTTGTCATTAAAATTCATTGCACATTTTCTACATGTTAGAAATCAGCAGACTTTGTAGTTATTCTATATTTCAGTCAAGTGGGGAGCTGAAATATGCTGTACCTGTAGGGTAGGAGGGGTTTTAAACACTGTGTTTAAAACAATGTGCTTCTGCTTCTGTTTCATCACTTTATAGATAGGCTTTGTTTTTCTTTGATAATCAGCCAACCTGCAAGCTGTGTCCTCCGTCCTCCTACACTTAAAACAACACAGTTTCAGGTGATCAGGCATGCTGATGATCAGTGAAAGTTGAGGCACTCAGGCAGCCCTGCCTTCCTGCAGGCTTGTCCCCGATGATGTCCTGATGAGTGACATAAATGTGGACACTAGAATCCCACCTACCCCCCCCCCAAGGGTTCAGTGGTAAAAACATAAAATTGAAAAAAATCATATTCTTGTCAGCCGATGGAATCAACAATTTTTTACTGTTTAACAACTGCAACATTGTTTTCAATCGTTTTTCTCCATCATTTAAAAAAAGTCAGACACACTTGTGTGTTTGTTTATTGTAGAAGTGTTTTTCTGTGAGATGTTTCTGGAAGGCTGACATGTGAAGCCAGTTGAGCCACTTGTAGGTCTTGACTCAGAGCTCTGCCTTCAAGCCGTGTCCTTTGTTCCTTTCATGTGTGACCGGCTGGCTGCTGACAGCTTAACCTGAGACACAGGAGGAATGACAAACTTGTGGAGAATTTCCACTGTTCAAAGTTCCCCATCTGTAAACACCTCATGTGGAGGTTTAAAGATAAAGCGTCACCCTGTATGCCCTGTTTTACACCTTTTTAGTGATCAGACCATCAGAAATCTCTCAGTGAGGATTGTCTCCTTTCAGATTCAGTTTAAGGTTGGCGAGAAATTAAAGACAAGAATGTATGTCTTTCAAAAATAAATAAATAATATGGAAAAAAATCGATTCTTACCTTCTGAGATTTTCAAAATTCATAACTTTCACAAATCTTTTTTTTGTTGGCTAATCAGTCACTCTCGGCTAAGTGCTAATGCTAGCTCTTGAACTCAGCAGAGTCAAATGGAGCAGCAAGAATTTCAGCCAGTCTCACAGATGACTGGAGTAGATCCTGAAGTATGTACTAACTCAAAAATAGACTTTGAATCCATTCATCCAGAAACGTTTCAAATCGAAAATAGATTCTCAATCGGACCCCAAGAATCGAAAAATCGAATCGAGTTGTGAGACACCCAAAGATTCCCAGCCCTAATGATGAATGAATAAATATTTAAAATGTAAATATATGTAGATTACAATTAGGAAAACAAGTCACTTTTTGGGAAGAGCTGCAAACCCACATAATAGTCAAATAGTCCAAATTAAGAATCTCTGCTGGTACAAAAATTTAACAACATTTCTTTGTGATTTTCTTATTAAAATTTAATTTTTTTATGCAGAATATGAGTTCCTGTGCACTTCCTTTAACATTGACTCCAATGGAAAAATATGAAGAATTGATGCAGCACAATCAGGAATCTAATCAAAACTGATGTTGCTAAATACAGAAATGAGCAATCAAGACCAAACCTGTTTTTTATACCAGTCTGTACACATATTTGTTTCTGCCGTAAACAATGGGACTTTATGGGAATTCCTCTGTCATTGGGGTCAGCCTCAAGTGTACTCTTGACTAACTCTGACCTAAGTGACATCACTTGAGGCTATTTCTGAGATTTTGCACCGCTTCTCCTGGAGCCATAAGAGGCTTTGACCCCCCTCCCAGGTTCATCGTAGATCTAAAACAGGGCCCTGAATTTCCTAATCAGTTAATAACACAACCCCTCAGTTGTGAAGTTTACATAGTAACCTTTAACCCGGTGACTTATGATATGTAAACTACACTGGAACAGTCTTTCCTAAGCTCTGTAAAGCTGCAGGGTTAGACAGGCAGACAGACAGATGGTAGCTCTTGACAGTATAGACAGTAGACTCTGTACGCTTTCTTTAATCCTCCTCTAGTTACGCCGAGAGAAGGAAGATTAACAAGAGCATCATGCTACACATCCACTCACCACTACATTTCAATAGAACTTGCATATTTTAAGCACTATCTGAAAAGCTTGTCTAGGAATCACGAGTTAGCTGCAGCCTGCATGTCTTCTGCGTACTAGCTTGACTTCATCTTTTCAAGGAGAACTCTAACTGGCAAAGATTCAAGATCAATATTAATAAAGACTCCACCCGAGACGCACTGTTTGCAGCCGGTGTGTTCGGCAGCCATCGTGCTCTTAATTATTTGGAAACAGTGAAGCATCCTGAGCAACTGAAGCTTTAGTCATGCACATTGTTGACATCTCTAACATTGTTGCTCTGACAGGGGAGAATTAAAAACCAAAGAAATGCTTTTCACCCTCTGTATGTTTGGCTTGTTGGTTGAAGGTAGGGGAAGCTACATTCCCACAATGGTTTTTCTGCATAGATGTAGAAGAACAGGAGCATTTTGAGATTGTTAAGTATAGAAAGAAGAGTATTTGTTGTTTGGAAGGATTTCGTTAGACATTGCATGGAGGCTAATCTTTGAACAACATGAGCTGTGTTACCAGACGAGACGTAGAAGTTCAAATAATACCATGCTCTTACATAATCGCTTGTGATGTTCCCCAAACTGGTCTGGGACTCTGTGTACTCCAGCGTATGGATGAACAGTTTTGTGCATATTCCAGCATGTGTGTGTGCGTGGGAATGTCCCCATTCCTGCAACTTAATACTTAATATATTAATTGAATGTGTAAGCCCCTGTCGTTCTGCCTCATTATGTCTGATGTGACATGACTTGTGTGTTTATGTGTGAAGTTTAAGAGCAGGTTTAGGATCGCTGCCAAGATTAAAGAGCAGCCTGAGGGGAAGGTGTGCTTGAGCAGCATGAATGTACTCACATATGTCCGAGTACGGGCTCTCTTACACCTGGGTGATCAGGGGGAATAATTAACAGTGGGGGTTATGAGGGAACATTTCCCCAGTTACTTGTAATTATCGATGGTTGATGTCTTGCACAAGTCTGTCTGGACTTTGTGAGTATTTGCTGAATTGTGTGGCAACATCTCTGGAGGCTGTTTGCAGACATGTCAAGAATACCTGCAGACAATTCTCAGGGTTTAATACAAGAAACAGACAATTTAGAATATGTGTTTATATTTGGATTACCAGCTAATATTCTTGTTAAAGTCGCTAGAGTTGAACATCAGTATAAGACCATGTAAGCAGGGAACTCTTGGCAGGACTGATATAAAAGCTACTATTAGGTAACGTTGAGGAAATCTTAGCATCAACAGTGCACAGAGTTAGTATCCTGCCATTTCACTACCATATAGAAGCGCTTAGAGTGATTTTTGTAAAAGTTTGTTCTTGTCTAGATTAGTTTAATTTAAATTAATGCAGGGGAAAAAAATCACCTGAGTACTACATAACTGCTCAAATAAATGTAATTTACATCATTGGTCATCTGAAACCAAAGCGACACTTTTGTGGTTGAAAGTTAGAACCCAAATTCTTAAAGTTAGGTCATTGTGCACAATATCAATTATAACAGAAATTGATGATTTTCAAAATATTAAACCCCTATAATTCATTGGAAAATACAAATGTCATTGTTTTTGGAAAATAAATGCCCATTTTGAATTTTTTTGCCGACAACTAACGAGCAAAGCATGTTGGGACGGTGGCAACAAAAGACTGGAAAAATCGGTAGGTTCCCCTGATGGAGTTTATTTTCTGAACTTCCTGATAAAATCAATTAGTTGTTGTTATTGTAAAAATAAACTCTCTGATCAACACAAATACACATTTTCAGTACATGTGCACTCCAAGGTGCTTTCAAACCCATGCAGACACCTTGTTGCAGATATTTCTGCACATTATATTTAAATATAAGCATTTATTTGTCTTTTTTTTTGTTACATTGTGTGTTTTAGCCATTTACTGTATATGCAAATGGACAGCCTGCCTCAGCCTTTCCCGTTGAGCAGGATGAAGCCAAAGTAACCCTGTAACAGGTGCTGACATGTTGCAAATTCGGAAACAAAGTCTGCGCAACAGTGATCAACTGGAATAGCCGCTTCTGCTAACAAAAAAAAACAGATTTAATTTATAGCCATAATATGGCAAAAATTCCTCAGGTTGATACCGTCCACGGCGAAAAAGATTCTTGTGTCAGATTGAAACAGACACACATTTCTGGAAGTTCAATGATTGTTCGTTACTTTTTCTCTTACTGGATTTAGCCGCATTCGTCAACAGAGCTGTCAATCACAGTATTTTATACTGTTTCATAGCATTCAATAACTAATTAAATAGAAACTTGTCAGAAAGAGATAGCTTGAACACAAAAGGTTGTTGTTACAATAACTACCTTAATGAAATCACATTAAGGAGGCGGGGTTTATGACCTACACCGCAGCCATTCAGCAGGGGGAGCTCTAAATCTTTTGGCTTCACTCCCAGGCAGCTGTTGCTCCATCCATCTTCATGTACAGTCTGTGGTTTTTCACTAACTGATGAGAGAATAGATAATACCTTAAAGGTCTATTACTGACCTTTTGGAGGAGTTTTTTTTCTTCCTGTAAGAAGCAGCAAATGCCGTTAAGTGCTTTAACTATTCTCATGACCTTTAAATAATCCACCTCCAGCACCGGGCTCATGTGTCTCACCAAGTGTAAAAAGCCTAAGGTGTGATTCCACCCACTCTGACAAGAAGTTCTTGTGTCTAATGTCAAGCTTAATGACAGTGAATGAGTCACTTTGAGCATTCTTTGTGTAGTCTGATCATCTTTTCACCTTTTACTGGTAGACTCATCTACAATGTCCGTTACATTACAAAGCTGTTTTCCAAAGAGGTGAACTAAGTCTATAATCTGTAACTTTAAAGCAAAGTGAAGTACACCTCCTTAAAGGTCAAAATATTCCTCTTTTGAAGAACAACTTGTAATTACCGCGCAAGTTACAAAAGCTTATTCAGAGCTAGATTATTGCTTATTTTGATTCTGCAAACATCACTTAAGGGAATGCTTAAGTGTTTATGACTATTTTATGCAAATATGTGAAGCCTGCAGGAGCATGCATAAACAAAACAAAAAAACAAGACAGCGAATGCAGTTTTAACCGAACCAAGAGCAACCCTCATGACTTGAAATTAATAAGTCCCAGATTGCAGAGTTTGCAGATCATGTGTAAAGTTTTCACAATTTTGTTGGAGCCAATTTCTGAACATTTATCATATTTTTTCTTTTTTTTCTGCAACACAGACGATAAGTGGGACTCACATTCCACTCCCTCCGAGTCAGAGAACTCCCATGATTTATTTCCTCATAATTATTTTAATTCTGACAACCTTAACAGCTAAAGGGAAGAAACCCAACTTATTAGTTCAGCTCAAGACGTTTTGATTCTACATAAGCATAAGGGAAAAACACAAGATTGGAAATATAGTTTCCTCTTACAGAGCCATTCCCTAAGAAAATACTTTTATATAAGAAGTGGACGTAGCCTCTGGTTTTAAAAGTGAAGCCAGATAGTCAAGCGGTTATGTTGTGCGCCCCGTGTGCAGCAGATATACTGTAGATCTTTTCGCAGCAGGCGTTGGTTTAAATCTTACCTTGGCCTTTTGCTTCATGTCATCCCTCTTTGCTGCAATGGATGTATTATAGAATGGATACAGCATAGGAGGTGGAGCCCCATTCGTTCCTATGAAAGCTGCTCAGTTGGCGCATGAAGCAAAAGGAGTCACGTTAAAGTACCTGAATCTTCCACGTTACTGGGCCCATAGAGCATGCACACTTAGAGTCGCAGTCTCGTGGCTATGCTTACAATATATCTCTAATTTCAGCTTTAATTGTTCATTACAACTTTTAGGACTTAATGGCTATGAAGGTGTTGATTTACAGACGTCTCTTTCCTATTGTAAGCTTATGGGAAAGAGTCTTTTTGGGCCCCAATGGCATCATGTAACACTGCAATACCAGCACCAGCCACCATGTAAAAATTGTCTTCAACTGTGGGCGCACTTCCTTGGGGCTTGAACGCTACTCCCAACGCTACCTGTCGTCGGCTGTCCTATCCAATTAAGGCAAGAATGTCCCAAAAAAATAAATGGTTGCCAATGCCAAAGCCAATGCAGACGTGACCGTTTGATTAAAAAAGTTATTGCATTACATATAGTTTTCAAGTCAACCCTGTGTGACAACCCTGATGACATCATGATTATTCTAATGATCGGGCTGTTGTTGGCATTAACTGTAAAAAAAAATAACGAAAAAATGCAACCTATCAGTTTTCAAATCTTTAATTTAAAAAGCCAGACACACACAGAGCTACATGTTAGCTGTAAATTACAGATGCTCTTATCTGATGTCACTTTTGCTGTTTGTGTCTGCTGGTGCGTTTTTAATCAGACGCTAAAAGGGAAAAGAAAAACACACAAGTGTTGACTCTGAGTAACCTCGAATCGTCAGCTGACTGCGTTCTGCTTATTTGCACACGATCCTCCCAGCACAAACCCATCCTTGTTTTCTTTTTATGACTTTTTTGTTTGTGCATGGAGCAAACTTCAGCAGAACTCCTCTCCACTTTGTTGTTTTTAAACTCTCCAACATGGCTGACATTTCCCTGAAGCTTCTCATGCAATAAATGCAGATTAAAGAAAAAAGTCAAATTGTTTAAATCTTGCATATGAGATATTTTAAAAGCTGCTTTGTATAATTTGCAGCTTTGCCATTGCATGATCACCTCACCCTGGAGATATTGCGGCATTTGATAGACTGTGAACAAGCAAGTTTTATTAAATCTGACTATTTCTGTTCTGTTTTGTCTTTGTCTCCTTTTCCACCAGGTCCCTGACAGCTTCCCGGGCGCTTAAGGCCGCTTCAGAAATCCTCACTTCAGAACATCAGCCCACCGAAGTCGACAAGGATTCAGACGACAAAATGTCTTCAGGCTACAGCAGCCTGAGCACCAAACTTTCCTTTAAGACCTCATCGCCCCCTAAAGAGGATGAGTCCAGGTATCGCGTCCATAAAGTGTCTCTGGTCAGCGAGTCTGACTCCACAGTCAACAGCGAGGCCACAGTGGACTCCTCTGTGCCTGATTCAAACAGATCAGATCAGGACTCAGACTACAAATGGAGGAACAGGTTCGAGGGAGTTTCTCAGTATAAACCATCCGCAACAGAGGAATTTTCTAATTCTCCGAGTTACACAGACACCTACTCCAGCCCCTCCTCATTGTCTTCCTCCTCCTCCTCCTACACGCTCCCTGAGGCTACAGCATACAAACATGCAGGCAACGCCTTCTCTTCCTCCTCCTTCTCCCCCTCTTCTGAGGAACACATCACCCTTGGCAACAGGCTGAGTGACAGAAGCGAAGTTTATCTGAGCCGTGAGAGCAAGCCAGCTGGAGAGCGGGAGGAGCTTGCTGCACCTGCAAGGGAGAGAGAGAGAGAGGGAGAGTCAGAGAGGTCCAGGTCGAGCTGGGAGTCACATCTGAGTCCTGCGCCTGGCTCCTTCTCACCTCAACAACCCAGCTACGACCGGCCGGACAGTTTCAGAGACGAGGACGGGGACTCTGCTTTTTTTACAGGAGTGTTCAAGGCCACGCTGGTGGAGCTGGTCTCCGACCCCGCAGCTCCCACCTCCACTCCACCACCGACCTCCCCTGACGCAGACTCCCTCCACCAGTCGGACATGGACAGCCTCGTGGACACGCTGAAGAGCATGGGACCCTCCATGAGGCCGAGGAGTGTCGGCCCACGACCGCCGGCGCCGGTCCTCGTCTCCTCCCTGCCGCCAATCGTGGAGGATGCGTCCAGCCCGATCAGCCTGGACGTCCGTGACTCCAGCAGCAGCAGCCTTTTGAAAAAGATGGAAGCGGCAAACAAGCCGGCAGAGTCCCTGAACGGACTTTACACTCTGCCTGCTGATCTGGGACTGAAGAGGAACTCAGGAAGAGACTTTCGTTCTCCACTGGAGCTGATGAAGCAGAACCAGCAGGTAGAGTCCATGCACTCAAAAATGTGTTAATTTATCTCTGCTTATTGATAACCTTTATCCCTCCAGTGTATCATTTTCATTATTTTATAAATGCAGCATAAAGGAGGGTTAGGTTGACATGGTTTCACTATTTTCAAACTTCCTGCATGGAGCACTCAAATGTAGACTCATGACTTAACTATTTATTAATAGTATAATTGTCTTATAAGTAATTAGTCAGACTCTTCTGGCTGGGCGGGTTTGATTGCTAAAATTAACTTCTTGTAAGGTATTTATTTTATTATCAGCCTGGAAGCAGCAGATCCTTAACCATTAACTTAAATGAATCCTTAAATTGTTGCTGTTGTTGTTTTGACTTGCATTTTCTGCTTGAGCTCCAAAAGAGGTAGAAAAAAAAGTATTTCATGCCTTGCAAAGATGGAAGATTGGGTGTGTCAGTATGATAAATTCCATCTGATTTCAGTGGAAACAGATTTGGCAAGTTGGTCCTGATGTAAAAGAATTGGCACCAACATATATGCAATTATAAGGAATTGGATGCAACAGTATTAACATGGAAACAAGCTTTACTTTACATGTCTTTGCAGATTTGTCAGGCTTCATTTGCCAAACCAAATTGATAAGAAAGTTAAATAAAAGTTTGCCATTAAAAAAAGTGATTCTAGGGTTTAAACTTCGCTGCTGATCCGGAAAAGATATATACATTTTTACATTTTATCTGCAGGTTTTCCAAACTGTCAGTCCAACAAATGGAAATTCCATTAACCTTGTTTAGATACAGTGAAGGCAGCAATCTGTAAATCATGCAGCATATTTAACCTTTGCAAATAATCCCAAACGATCTGTCTGATTAGATAACTTTCTGGGTAAATCAGAGTTCCCATTTGCTTGTTTTTTTGTTTTTTGGTTGAACTAACCCTTTGACGAATGCTCTTCTGATTGCATGTTCTACATCCCCTGCAGGAGCAGCACGTTAACTCGCCACAGAGAGCGACGGCCATCAACAGTATTGTGATGAGAAGATCCTCTGACACTTCTCTTGAGGACTTACAGTCCCCACTGCTGAACGGGAACACGACCTCCCGCCTTGACAACAGTATGATCTTTGGGAGCTACAGGTCAGGATCCATCGATCAGAAGCAGGAGAACAGACAAGCTCACCGCCCGCTCTTCCGCACCGGCTCGCTGCCTGACACGGGGCTTTCAAACGACCATATGAGCGCGGGGACAAAGGACTCAAGTGATCCGAGCGCTGCAACAGACCAAACTGGGTCCCGCTTTGACCGCTTCTCCTTCCTTTTAAACAATTCCTCCTCCACATCGGGCTCCTTGACTGGAGCCGAAGATCCCAACATGCGTATGAGTCGGCCTCAATCCCTGGGTTTCACTTCCCCTCCCCCTAGCAACAGCCCCAACCGCGTCCTCAGCCCGACCGGCTCCATAGACCTCCATAGGTCGCTGAGCATCCCAGACCTGCCCTTATCCATGTATTCCCAGAATCAGAACCAGGGAATGGGAATGGGAATGGGAATGGGGATGGGGATGGGGATGGGTGGGGGTATCAGTACAACTCCCCTCCTGCAGAGGAGCTTCAGCAACGAGGGCACCACAGGGGTCCAGCAGACTACATTGTTCAACAGCGCGTATGGAGGGTCTCAGTTCCAGAACCAAGAACAGGAGAAGAACTTAGCGTCCAAGTACAGAGCCTTCCCCGACGCCTACGTAAGTATTTCTAATCATTTACATTAAGTTTCACTGAGTAGTAAACTTATATCGTAGCTCCACATTGTGTATGAATAATGCAGTTTTACTCACTTTAAGACAAAGGTTAGTCCAAGTACATTAAACCAGTCTTTAAACTAATTGGCTATTGTCGATATGACAAATTAACCTCTTTAGACCAAGGCATATATATCAGGGCTAGCTAGTAGCTATTTGGTTATTAGATAAAGAATACATGGGTCAAGACTTTTGATCGCATTTCCTCAGGTGGTGAAGTCAAGATGCTCCGCCATCATTACGTCTTTGTACTTTCATATTGATTCTGCAGCGGTGTAATATTGGTATCCCAGTCTTTGGATTTACATTGCGTAACTGTCGTGTATAAAAACAGCGGGAACTCCTAATGAACACTCATAGAACTTTTCGTCCTCGTTGGCTCTGGTGAAACCGTTTCACCACTGTGACTCCTCTGTTAGTACCTCTGACGGCACAAAGGTGGGAACACTTCATCCAATACAACTTTGTGACATGTGGTAGGCTGAATAGGGCTATTGTTTACCGTGCAACCAGCAAATAGGGAAGGCAGAATGGAGTTGGAGGGAAGTGACGTCTGAAACCAGATGTTTCGATACACTTGTATGCAGATGACTGCATACTGAGTTTAACTGAAATGAAAGATTGTCTTGTATTGAAAATATCACATGGGTAAGAAGATTGCGTTAAAGCCGGTAGGATATGATACAATATGATACGATTGGACATTCCTCCTCTCACTACAAAGGGAAACTGACATCTAAATCCTTGTCCCTAGCCTCAAATTATTTAGCGATCACAGTAGAATTTTTTTAAATTTTTTAAGTGATTTCATTTTTTGTTTAACAAGAGAAGACAAAATCCTGCACAGTCTTTAAATATAATTGCAGTGCAGATGTTCCTTGAACTTTAAAATGGTAGCTCTGTGAAATGAAGCTGGAGAAAGAAAGTCCTCTGCACATATTTTAGTCTTTGTGCAAAAACTTTGTTAACTTATTATGAAGGCAGCTCTTGTTTCTGCACATGCATGCACTTGTTCTAACATGCCAGTGTTCATATTGGCATGTGGAGTGCTAAAGCAAATTAGAAGAAGGTCGTAAATGATTTTTATTAGCAAAGGAAAGAACATCTACTCACACGTGTGCTGCACACATGGCGATGCATACAAACCCTCTTTCTCTCTCACACACACACACACACACACACACACACACACACACACACACACACACAGATTCAATCTAACTCCTCTCCACTCAGTTGCTCTTCCTGTTTCACACATAACACTTCATTTTTAATTTCACTCTAAACCATTACACATTGTAATTAACGGTTATGTAATAAGAGTGCAGCTATGCCAAAAGTTAGCAAACAGAAAACCATAGATTTGATCCCTGACAAAAATTACGATGCTATCACAAGCAGGGAAACCAGATCCTTACATTAGCCCCTTAATAATGCTGTTCTCTGCAATATGTCACTTGATGCTACATGCATACGATACATGCATGTAGTGTTGTTCTGTCCATGCAAAAAAAAAAACACACACAAAAAGAACTCTTGATTTTAGAGGTGTAACTAACCTCATATTAGTCTCCAGCTGTCCTGTGTGGTTTTAAAACAAATGTTTGCACAGGATGTTTGTTCACGCTGTAACAATGCTCAGTTGGCCTCTGTGATGTTCAGCAGTACGGCTGCAGCAGCTCTGTTTTCCAGGCCAAAGTACACACACCTGACCACAGCTCATATTACTGACCGGGTCACTGACTTGCACACGGTAAGTTTGGGCCTCTTTAGTTCCCGAGCTGGAATAGCACTACAGCAGAATACAATCCCAAGACTGCAGGGAGAGTAAAGACTTTAAGAGTACACTCTACATGGAAGTTAAAGGATACACTTTTTCACAACCTTCAAATTGGAATTTATTGGAGGATATTTTCTGTAAAGATCTTAATTAATGGAAGTCTCCTGTCAAACACTGAGCAAATACAACCATAACTACTACTATGATATTTTGTCTTTACCATCTTGGATAACTTCTACAGAGAGTGCTAAATACAAATATCCATTTTTCCACTTTTGGTGATTTTGATCTGGATGGTTGATGAAGTCAAATGGTCAAAAGGATAACGTGTAAATATAGGAGTGATATTGTAGACTTTTGCATTGTATATGGATGTATTCATACATGAGATGGCTGATTGTTTTGCCACCAGTTACAGAGGCTTCCAAGGGTAGACATGCTGCAAGGCTCAAAATATTTTTATATTAGGAAAAAGTATGCAAGTTCAAGAACAAATACAAGAAAGTACAACAGCAGAAGTGTGCTGCAAATGAAAAAAAGAACGCTTCAGGAAACAGACACTAATACATGCAAGCAATCCAAAAAAACACACAAACGGAGGGAAGAAGTACAACAGGAAAAAGCTGCATAACAAAAGTTACAGACTTATTTTACCTTTAATTTTCTCATAGGTAACATATAGTTAAATTAAACACACAATAGTATGGTATAAACCATGAAATATATTTTTTTAGATGATGTACACATCAATATTAACTACAGTCTCCTGCAACGGCAATCCACCGCTTTTTATCCATCAAAGTATAGTGTGCTATACACAGTATAGTGTGTTAGAGTCCTGTTATAGAAGGGGTGTTAATGGGGATGTGATGTACAGCTTCACCTGCTTTACACCTGTAGACTGACAGAAAAAACCAGAGGGGAATCATTGTTAGTAAAAATGATATACTACATGTGAGAACAATATTTGGCAGGTGCTGCAGGACTGACGTTTATCTCTCTAAGCGTTTTAATTTTGCTTTGTTGAAGCGACAGTTTGAAATCAGTCATCTCGTAAAACTCCTTCATGCAGTTAAAACCATCAGTGACACTTTCTCAGCGGGTGGGAGTTACTCCTCTCAGTCATTACAGTTCTGGCAGAACCCTTCCTCTCTGTTGTTCCTGTTTCTGTCTCCGCTGGTCTCCCCACCCATCCCAGCTATCTGCCCGTTCCTGCAGAGACACCGCCACACCTCGCCCTGTGTTGTGTTTATTCGCTCGTTTCTCCGCTTGTTTGCTTGATATTCAACAGAGCGGAGTTGACAGAAGGAAAAAAACTCTGAAGGGTGGAAGGGTGAATGGAAGATGACAAAGAAGATTAGCTGTTCCCTTCTGTGAGGGTTTGATTGGCTTTGTTCCTCAGCTTTACGAGTGTCATTACTTCATGCACTTTTGCATATAAGATTTGCTGAAACTGCACATTTCATCTGGGAGGGAGAGGAACAGAATGGGGGGGGGGGGGGGGAGTATCTGTTTGAATTCATGCATGAATTTGACATTAAAGCTGCAGTAAACACATAACAGCCCCAACGTGATGCATCTGTTTGATTTGTTTTGAGTGACATGGTGAAAGCTAAGAAAGAAGTTTAAGAGATGAGAACTAAAACACAATTATAGTAGCAACAAGTGCAACATCAAGAAACCACAAAGGGATTATTTTCAGAATACAGAAATGTTCTAGCTGTTTTTGCAGAATCGGTATCATTTAAATTGATCAGTTAATCAATCAATTTCTATTTCTGTAGCACCAAATCACCCTAAAGACACTTTACGTATAGCGAAGGTCTAGACCAGTGGTTCTCAACTGGTGGGTCGGGACCCAAAAGTGGGTCGCAGAGACTTTTTCACTGGGCCACAAATGTGTGCATGGGAAAAAAAAAAAAATCAAAAACACTATGACTTTGAAATCATTTGTACCATTGGAGGTCCAAAACGCACAATTTTTGCCTAAAATAAATCTGATTGGTTGAAAAATATCAGAAATGTTTTGCACTATTTTACATAAAGGAGTTGGTGGTGGATCTTGAGGCTAAATCAGTTTAGAACCACTGGTCTCGACTGTACTCTTTATTAACAGTCACCTAATTTTAATCTCACAATGGGCAAAGGAAAAGCAGAACCCTGGAACAGAACCAGGCGTAATGGTTGACAACCGTCTGCTGCGACTAAACTGCGAACCAGTTCACACTTGCTAACTCCTACTGGACCACACAAAGGATCCCAGCAAGAAATTTCACAAGTGACCGACCTGCGATGTGCGCCGCCAGTCGCAGCTTTCAGTAGAAACTCTGGTTTTCTCCATGCTCGTTCAGACTGGCTGCGCTCTTGTGTTATCCAAGGAGATAAAACATAATTGCAGTGTTGTCTCCGGGTTTTGTTTTAATCCGATTTATATCAAAAGTTGGGCAAATTCACTCATTTATACTGTATATTCAATTCAACAGTGAAAAAAGATGCCTACATCAAGTAAAAGTTGGGCTATTTGACTTGAAAATGCAACAAAAATTTCTTAAATTTGAGACATTTCTCTCTAGGTGGGGAACTTGTGTCCTCGTCGTTGGTTTATTTATATCAGTGAACAGACTCAGTGAAAGTAATTCTTTTAACACAATCATTAATAATTCAAGGGCGTCCTTCATGCTAAAGAGAAATTTGTTAATTGAGACATCTTTATATATCCTCCGCGTATATCTAACGAGAACTTCTCATAATATAACTAAGCCAGTGAGAGACACGACTGTGGACTTCTGAAACAGAAGCCTCTGTAGCGGCCCTTCTTTGGCGGGGTAATCTGACCCGCATGATAACCTGTTTCCTACAGAGCTTCCAGAGAGAAGAGGCCCGTTGACACCTGAGACCCGAAACACTCACAGAAACATACAGTCTCCTCTCCATTTGCGTGCACATCACACAGTGCTTATCTGCGACCACATTCCTCGTTTCATGAGTCAAAATCACAGAAGTCCTGCTGCATTCCAGCCATGGCTAAGAGGCGACGATAAACACACACAAAGGGGGTCAAACAGTGAGTTGATTCATCACCTGCTGGGTGCAGACCTCAGGTGAGCTCACAGTGTTGTCATGAGTGAGTGGGGGGGGGGAGAACTCAAAGCATCCCATTAAACAGGTAGAGGTGAGGAATGAATCCACCTGTCAGAGAGGTGCTTGGTTTGTCATTACGATGTCGTCTGTCATCACTTGCCCTCCCCGATCCCCCAGACACACATAAAAACGATGTTTGGATCGTGTGGCATGTTAACTATTTTAAAAGCTAAAAAACTACCATAGGTGAAATCTATATGATCGCTGATGCAACTGCATGATAAAATGTTACTGCTTTGACGAGAAATCTTGGCTTGTGCGGCTATGTTGTGTGTATTTCTTAGCTATAAGAAAACGATTATATTCATTCCCCAACATTTTTAATCTGGTCTAAATTTACCATTGTTATGGCAATCATAGTTGCAGGATTACGTCCTTTATGTCCACATTTAAAGACGTGATGAAAGTCAACACACTCTTTAATGTAGGCTCGTTTAAGTTGTGTATAGTATTCTACTTTGTTACACTATTACCATATGATTAAATAGCTTAAGAAAACTGCTTTGTACGTATATCTATGAAAACTTATGTTTCATTTTTTTTATGTCCATAGCTCACCAAAGAGAAGGAACACGGGAAGCTGAATCCTCGTCCTGGGAAGGTGAGTCGCTACCAAAAAAAGACACACACCTTCCAACACATCTCAAACACAAAGCTCAGTTACCATCTCACCTTCAAAGTTTAATCTACTTTTACTGATTAACTTCAACTTTTAACCAGGAAGTTATCTTTTTACTACTAAAGCTTTGTTTCTGTGGAATTAGCCCCAACACAGCATGGCTACATCAACAATCCCGCCTTTTTTCTCCTGCTGACAAACTGCACTAAAAGAACAAATGCGATCTAGAGTTCCATAAATATAAATGATATGATAGAGAATATTTAGTTTCAATGCTTTTCCCCCCAATTGTATTTTCTCAGACACTTTTAGAAGTCCACTGGTGGTGCCCTGAAGTGAATTTTAAGCTAGCTATGTTAGCTGTATGCCTTCAAGTTAAAAAAACAACAACTTCGGTTTACAACTACATACTTCCACAATAGCCTTCCCATCAGCCTCTGCTGTATTTTCTGCTAACTACTCATTGGCATCTTTTAGCATTTTAAAACTCTAAACTACTGAATACAGTGAACAGGTAATTTTGGATGCTAAAGTTAGCATTTAGCTTATGGTGGACACAGTTCTAAGCTTATTTTTAAAGAAGGGGATAGTTTGGATTTCTTGAAGTGTTGTAAGAAGAACATAACAATGATGAGTATATAACCTTCATTATATGTCTCCTAATCCCTATGTTCCCTCATCCCTTAGTTCCCTCATCTCTATCTACCCTCAGCCCAGTGTTCCCAACTGTATGTTCCCTCAGATTGTTACTTGCCTCATTTGCGCCACCTGCTTGTTCAGTCGAGTTAAGAAACCTGAACTTGAACAAATAATTTCCATGATTTCAGGGTGCAACAACACATTATGTGCATTATAAAAGGGCCAGCCCTGATGCTGGGGGAATATAGGCCTGAGAGAACATGTTTGGGGGAACAAGTTTGGGAGAACTTTAGGGAACATCGGAATGAGGGCACATTTGATGGGTGGAAGATTTCATGTAAAAGGAGGAAACATAGGAATGACCCTTACAGCCCCATGTTGGATAGGCTAGCTATTCTAGTAATGCCACAGGAGCTAACTCGAGTAAAGCTTCACAGGGTTTGGAGAGTAATGCAAAATAAAACATCTCTTATCATCAATTCAGCCATACCTACAATGTTTTTGCAGAAAGCTTGGGGTTAAATATGTCTGCTGAATGACTTCTGCAGGTAGTCTGATAAAAGCAAACTATGATAACTATCGCAAAGGTCGTTTACTTTGTTTCTTTTAGATTTGAGTACAGATTTAATTACAGGCTGGCCAATTACGGTTAGGCATGATGCAATTTCTTAACACCTGTTCCCCTAACTGCTCTCAAAACCCTTCAGTAAAATCTGCAAACACTATGGTTAAACCTTTTGTTCTTCATCTGATCACCAAAACTCTTCCCAGACACCATCTGTGGAATGTCAGGCTGTGATTGATGTCATTAAACTGCATACCTGATACTTTCACCCAGTCCAACCCAGGCGTCTTTATTAACCTTTAAATGTCAGGCCTGCTCCTGCATGTAGAAGATGAGCGGATATTTTCTCATCGAGATGTGATGAAGGATCCTGAATGCAGGAGGAGGAGCTGACATTTAGTGTTCGGCTCCTGAGTACTCTTCCATGCTGCAGGACCCCGGGGCCCTGACTGGACTGAACATGCCAGTTCTGTAGACGGAAATGTGTTTTTTTTTTGTTTTTTCTTCGAAGCTTTTGTAGTCAAATTCAGCCTTGAGACACAACACAGAATGTTGACAAAGCTTTCCAATGCTGAAATGCTATTAGATAATCTAATAGTAATAATAATACAAACATGCTTTTGCTTCTACCTTGCACGATTCTCGGATCAAATGCGTGAAAGGGATTAGCAGGAAATGTAAAATTCATGCTTGAATATGAAATTTGAGATAAGGCCGTGGGTGGTAATGGTGCCATTATTTAATTCCACATAATAGAACAGATTTTGCTCTTGCCTGCAGAAGTTCTTGGAATCTCATCAAGTCTGCCGTTGTTTTATTCTCATTGTAAAAGCTTCTAATGTTGAAACTTGACCATCGAATCAGGATATTCAAACTGCTAAATGTCTCTGTTTGGAAAGGTGCAGGTCTGTAAGTGAGGCTGCAGAGCTGCAGAGTCAGATGGGAAACACTCTTCAGCTGCTCGGCAAAAAAAACATCAGATCAAAACTGTGAATCAGCATTATTATCTTTTCTAACATAATGCCACTTTTTTTTTTTCCTTTAGATGTACATCTTCGACCAGCCGGGGATGTGCGGCCAGAGGATCGAGATACGCAGTGATGTCACCGACGCTACGTCCTGGGAGCTGCAGGAGACCATCTCCATCCGGGTTGTCAGAGGAGGGTGAGCGGATAACTGGGGGGGGGATACATTTTCTTAAGACCTATTCTGGCATGTTTCACCTTCAATCTGAATGTTGCGGAGGCAAAATGGGGGAAAGAAGTGACCCCCTTCTGTACCATCAATATAAATGTACAAAGACGTGATGAGTGCAGAGGGTAGTTACTGTCCGAGGGGGATTATTTTGTGCATGATCCTTCTTAATGCTCTTCAAAAAGTAGTCAGGTAAAAGAAATCTACAGGCATGAGGGAGCCGTCTACATCAAGCAAATACCTTCAGGTCTAAATATTTTTGTTCGAATTACAGCAGTGAACAAACACAATAAATCTGCGTCTTTCCTCATACTATTGTCACATATTCGGCATGATGAAGTAGCACCTTCCCCTTCTTGTTTTTCCTGAAGGTGAAGTGTGTAATTGAACACTAGAAAAGAGAAAACCCTTATATTTACAGGACGCTATAGCGTCAGAACAAAACAGCTTTTTGATGCTCTTTGTGGTCAGGCAAACGCCTTCCAATAGTTAACACACCCACACGTGTCACATGAGGAATGTTGAATCAAACACAGGCGGCAGTGTCTGCAGGAGCGCTCATGGCAGTGCTCTGGCCTGTACACATAGCAAGATAATTACGCTGTCAACACAAGCGTCGCACTCTGCGGCCCTGCCCAAAACCACAGCTAATGCTGTAATTAACCAGTTTTAGGAAGAGGACTTTGTATCCCATTAGCCCCGGCTCAATCCTGGATCTAGTACCTTTTATTAATAGATTTACTTTGGCCACGCAGCCGGGGCATCAGGACAATACAATCTGCTACTGTTTGATCCTGCTTTGTACCTCTTCTTCATCACATTTAAAAGAAGATTATCAGACTTAACTTCCTGAGTTAGTTTTTAGATCACAGTGATAAAAACCATTAAATAGGCCTATATAATAAAGCTCGACCTTCTAGACTAGTGACCCTTGGAAAAAAGATCAGTGTACAGCTGGGGCCGCTTTTCATGATCACTGCGACGAGGGATTTGTATCTTTACAAATGAATCCATGTCAGATTTGCTCGACATGAATCGATTAGTCTTAAGTAACAAGAGTCACTAAATCAGTATTGAGAGACACTCACACATATAGGCCCAGAATACACACACATGCACAAACAGGAACTACTGTATGGACGTGCTTTAATGGAGAGATCTCAGAGTTAGAGCGCCCCGAGCAGTTTGGGGTCTGGTGACTAGCTAGCTCACCTTGAGCATGTGCTCAGGAAGTGAACTGGCACCTCTACCGGCATCCAGATCAACTTTCATACATGGGTCAGCACCACAAGGACTGTAACTAGGGACCCTCCAGTTCCCAACCCATGTCCCTTCAGACTGAGCCACTGCCTCTAAATTACTAAGTAATGTCACGTTCAAAGCCACAACTATGTTCAGTTTGGTAGCATTAGCTTAAATTAGCCACTGTTAGCTAGTTTTCGTATTAGACTCTACTACCACTGTGTATGAGAAGTTAATATAGCCTCCATGGTTTCACCCATCACTGTGTAGACTGCTTAAGGCTCAAGTTCAACATTTTGGTGGTTGGCATCTTGTTTCTGGAGAATAAAGACACCATATTTGGAAGAGAGGTTGGATTTGCGTCGTAGTGTCTCTGTCCTGGTTGACATGTTGTCTTGCTAGCAGTTTGTCAATCACAGGAAGCCACGCATGATGGCAAATACTGCTTTGTATTTTAGTCAAAAAGCGGATAATCATTTACAATATAACATAAGTCTCATGTCCTTTCTGGTTCCTTTTTTATTCCTAGATGGGTGCTGTATGAGAAGCCAAACTTTCAAGGGGAGAAGATCGCTCTGGACGAGGGAGACATCGAGCTAACGTACCCCTTCGGCCCCCCAGAGGAGGAGCAGCAGCAGCAGAACGGGCTGCAGGAGGGCGAAAAGCAGAACGGAGAGCAGGGGAACGGGGAAACGAGTGACGTGCAGACAGAGAACGAGCCGGCAAGGAGGTTCATCGTCGGATCTCTTAGAAGAGCCGTCAGGGTACGGTTTGGTTCACTCTGTTTTAATCTGATCTAAACAGACATGACGAGGCACAGCCGAGAGCCTTTGTGTTTTTTGTCTTAAGCGTTACCTCCTTGACCTTTGAATGAGTTTCCAAAGATGTGTTGGACTGCAGATTTTCAGTCGGTGTGTTCTTTAACTCAGTAGCACCATCTAGTGTCAAACGTAGGAGTAAGCACCTGTTGCTCAGACTCTCGTAGGAGTGAACGACATGAGGAACAAGATAGGTCGGATTATCTCTTGTCTTGATCAGCACACAGGCTGAGACAACATTTCCTGCACGGCAACCACCATCGATGGGTTTCCAAAGCCCCCTGCAGTGACAGATGTGTGACGTCACTCACCCTTCAGCCATTAATATTTACAGGCTATGGACTCACTATAGACCACGTTTAGGATGTGAAGCTCAAATTTCTGACCTCCTTGATGTGACATTAATGGATAAATCTCTTGTCCTGCCTCAGGACTACAGTGTCCCAGAGATCAGTCTGTTCCCAGAGGAGAACGCAGAGGGGAAGAAGGTCATCTTCAGGGACACGTCTGAAGACGCCAGGATCTTTGGCTTCCCCATCAAGGCCACCTCCATCATCATCAACGCTGGGCTGTGAGTTATTTTTAACCATTTTTAAAATCATGTTTCATACGATCTGGTTTGTTTTGCCTTAAATTATTCACTTTTTTTCCTGCATAGATGGCTTGTGTACGCACACCCCTTCTTCCAGGGGGTACCCCGGGTCCTGGAGGTGGGAGGGTTTACTAACCCTGCAGCCTGGGGGGTGGAGAAGCCCTATGTGGGATCACTACATCCACTCAAAGTAGTAAGTGGCATTTTTGTGAGTTTTCACAACTCGTGTTCTCTGTGTCATCTGCAGAAAGTGAAATCATGTCTGTTCTTTTTTGTTTTATTATTATTAAAGGGTGAACCAAGAGTGGAGAATCTGAGTGAACCAAAGGTAAGAAAGAAAAAAGAGATCCTAAATCAGAGTTCTTGAATGGACCTTTTGAACTCATTTCAAAGCAGTGATATTAATATTTATTTTTCACTTTGCCCAAATGATAAATCACGTTTTTTTTGCCTCCAGATCGTGGTCTACGAGAAGCCGTACTTCTCCGGTAAATCGAGAACCATAACGACCAACACGAGAGACTTCATGACCAGAGTGGACAGGCAGCAGGCGGCCTTCATGTTCAACGTCGGCTCCATGAAAGTGCAGGGGGGAATGTGAGCGCAGAGATTGTTTTGAAGACACTTGAGTGATGATAATGGGATTACACATGCATGGGGCAGTGGGATGTGTGTTGTTTAACCCTGTGTGTGTGTGTGTGTGTCTCTGTTTCTGCAGCTGGGTGGGCTACGAGAAGGAGGCCTACAGAGGACACCAGTATCTCCTGGAGGAGGGGGAGTACCAGGACTGGAGGGTGTGGGGAGGCAGCGATGCTGAGCTGCGATCCGTCCGGGTGATACGAGCGGTAAGTGGCGCAGAATATATCTCTGCAGTTAGCGTTCACCAATAAGTAATATTTCAAATTGCTGATTGAGCCGACACAAAGACACGTTTTCAGGGGAAGGTTTGAAACTTGATCAGTCGTTTTCAATCTGACCTAAAGTAAATAAAACCATGTACACGTGGGCCACATAATCTAACCAACAGAACAACAATAAAGCCATATTTTTGCAGTCATTACTTAGAATTTGTTTGCATTCTCTGACACCAAAGTGTGCTTAAAGTGACAGGAGGTAAACATGAACATTACACAGGAAAAAGCCACACTGAAGAGGAGTAATGCTAGTTTGAAAACTTGAACATTCTCCTGACAGAGCCGCTGTAATTGTCTAGTTACTTGCAAGCCGTCCCTGATTGGTTGTTCGATTCAGCCTTGATACTTTTTTTGGTGGGGGATTTAAAACTAAGGAGGGGGCTCACAAACACAGATCTGATAAAAATGTATTCAAAGGAAAATGGGGATCGGAGATCTTGCGTTTGAGAGACGACTGACTCTACCAGACCCTAACTATCTCTCTCCTGCAGGACCTGACGGAGCCTATGATGGTGATGTTTGAACAGCAAGAAGAAGAAGACCAGGAGGGCGTGCAGGAGGAGAACACCTTCGAGGTGACCGAAGCCATCCCCGATGTCGAACTGTTCGAGTACAAAACCTCCACGCGCTCCATCGATGTGATCAGCGGGGCGTAAGTTGGCTAAACTTTTATACTCCACCATCTCCGTTTCACCACTTCTCAAACTTGTACTGTCATACAATAATCCTTAATCTGTTTCTTCCAGATGGGTGGCGTACTCTCATGTAGACTTTTCTGGACACCAGTACATCTTAGAGAAAGGCTTCTACAATAACTGTGCAGACTGGGGCTCGCAGGACAATCGAATCTGCTCGGTGCAGCCCATCCTGCTGGTGAGGAACACTGGGGAGAAAAAGGAAATTAAACTATGAGCTGGATTTATGACGAAATGTTACTCAGGTGTTGTTTGTTTGTGTTTTAGGCTCCGAGTGACAGCACAAGAACCACGAATGAGGTAACTATATAGCATTGGCTTTCTCTGTCAAAACTTCAGATTTTTATTACACTTAGATATTTGAGTTTTTTTGTTTTTTTTAATGGTGTGACAGAAAAATATCGAGAGCAGACACAGGCCACTCTTTACACCCAGATGGAGTTATGTCTATGAAATGCATATGGAGGCATCATCTCCTTGACTTTCCCCTTTCTCTCCTCTTTACTTTTTGTGTCTAACAACCAGTGATGCAGTGGTCTGTAAAGAAGAAGAGGGTATACACTTCATTTTTCCCCAAAAATGTTTTAACCGTGCCCAGTTAGTCCTTGGTCAGTGGGGAAATGGGGAGGGGGGCAATCATGCTAAAGTGCCGTACAAGGAAAGAATAGCTGTCACAATGTTGCAGCTAATGGGGATCCTTATAATAAACTAAACAGGACAACTTTGCCCAGTGTGCGTGCACCCTAAAACTACTTGTGCATATTAAATCAGTGTAGCCAATGAGAGACAGAGTAGGGAGGGTCATCCCTTCACCAACTTAGGGGGGAAAAAATCACAGCCTACTACTGAAGATTGTCAATCAATGGTGTGAATCAGAGAAGATTCAGAAGTGGAAAAGATGACACCACTGCTCACCACCAACAGTGCAAAGGTTTAACTCAGCTTTTTTGCATGTGCTGCTGGTTCAGGAAGTGATTCTGCACTTTGTTCCGTGTGGGGGAAACCCCTTTTTGTTTCAGCAGAACATGCCATGACTAAAATGACAAAACCTCAGCTTCATATTAATCCTGACATTTGTCTCTGTTTGGACCTTTTTTAATATTTAAATGTTGCAAGTGAAATATTGGACGGTAAGTGCAGCGAACCGCATTGTGAAGAGAATGTTTAATCCAAACACACGTGGACAAAACCAGATCTCGAACAGCTGGGGAAAAAATTATGAATTATTCTGTTAAGGAAGCATTTTAGTAGCCTTGCTGTTTGAAGTGCTTTAAAGGCAGCAATAAGAAAAAGACCATAAATGTGTTAATCTGTTCTCACTTTATTCTCCTGAACCTTTATACATCTCTGTCTGTCAGGTTATACTATACACTGAGCCAGACTTCAAGGGTGAGTGTCACATCTTCGATCGCAACCAGGAAGCACTGCCAGGGAAACTGTCGACCAAGTCCTGCCGAGTGTTGGGGGGAAGGTGAGGAGCCTCGAGCAAAGCACTTATATATTTGATCCCAAAGAACGTAAAAGAAGAGGAAACTGTTCTCAGAATCAGTTTAATTTGTTTTTCTGTTCCGCAGTTGGGCGTTCTACGAGGATCAAAAGTTCTCTGGGAACTTATATGTTCTATCTGAAGGAGACTACCCCAACTTAACCAGCATGGGATGTCCGCCCGGCACCAACATCCAGTCTGTCAAAGTTGTGCCGCTGGTGAGAAAACACTCATATTCAAAAGTGTAACCATGATTCGCTCTCTTTGGTTTGATTTTGCTCTGACCTCCTTTACCTCCTCCTCTCCAGACGTTCTCTGTTCCCTCCATCTCTCTGTTCGGCCTGGAGTGTCTGGAGGGCAGAGAGATCACCATAGACAGGGAGATCCTCAGCATGGTCGAGGAGGGCTACAACAACCACATCCTGTCTGTCAGAGTCAACAGCGGCTGGTATGTGTTCAAGGAGCTTAAAGTCTTCTTAAAGTATTTTCAGGTTTTCTTTCGTTTTAATGACAGTAAAGTCATGAAATCAAAATATATGGCTTTCACTTCCTTGTTGAAATAAAATTGCAAAACTGTCTGTTAAGTAACCTTGATGTTTAATTTCAACATACCCAATGCTGAAATGCTTGATTCAGCTCTCCTTATATGCTAAATAATAAGAAACGACTTCTCTGTTTTTTGCAGTTGGGTGATATGTGAGCACAGCAACTACAGGGGGCGCCAGTTCCTACTGGAACCAATCGAAATCACCAACTGGCCCAAGTTCAGCTCCCTGCAGACCATTGGCTCGATGTTCCCAGTCAGACAGGTTCGTTTACACGGCACCTCTACAGCCTCTTCTTTTTTTTTTTTTTTTTTTAAGATTTGACTCTTTATGCGTCAGAGCCAACATGTATGAAATGTTGCTACCGGACAAAATATCAAACATGGCGTGCAGTGTGTTCTTCTTTTCACTGAGGCATTACATTATTACGTACATTATTATTCATTCAGGCCCATTTAGGCTTTTTGGTGTTTATTATTGTGGACAGAGGAAGAAAGGATGGGAGGACATTTCTGCACAGTGGATGACAGACAGACTGAGACTCTGCAAGCGTTGTCATTGGCTAAGGCCTGCAGTAGCTTGTTTTCTATATATTTAGTTAAAATCCAAGGCGACCCCACGTTTCACAACTGTATCTGTTTCTTGTTCACTCACTTGAAGCATTTATCCAGATTTTTTGTATTTGAATTCAAACTTAAAGGTCACATATTATGCAAAACACACTTACAGTACCATGTTTTTCTAACACTAGTATGTGTCCTAGTCTGCCTACAAACCCCCAAATTATGAGAAAAGTCCATCCTCTCCATCTTTTGCCTGCTCCACTTTTCAGAAAATGTGTGCTCAAACAGGCCGTTTGAGATTTTCCCTTCATGACATCACAAAGGGCAGTAACCCCTCCCCAGGTGGGTGACACTCCCACAGCTAGGTGTTTGTTCTGCACCTCTGAGTCTGGGTTTGGGGAAGCCTGGCTTAAAGGGACAAACCTCTTCTGGATTTGGAGGCTTGTTATCCCCCAAAGAATGAAAATCTAGCCGAGTATAAAACTCATTTATACCTTTTATAAGTAACATTTTTTATAAATGTGTTCAGAGGGTTAGATCAACTATGTTCAAACTTTTGATATCTTGTACAAAGAGGAAAAGAGTGTACACCACTACCGTAACTACCGTAACTTAAAAAGCTACTGTAATTTAAAAAGCTGGAAGGTGTTTCTTTGGATACTGTCTGAGAGAAGGAGTCCACTGAATTATTTTGAATTCCCAAAAAAGCCAAAATTAAACCCATATCATGTTATATTCCTTCTACACAGCATGCTCTTTAACACTTGGTTTTCACAATAAAATCAGTCAAAAACTCTCTGATCTTCAACAATGTAACAATGTAAATGTTGTTGGGTTTTATTTTTTGCTCTTGCAGAAGCGACACTTTTTCCGCATCAAGAACAAAGAGAGAGGTCACTTCCTGTCCATCCAGGGCGGCGTGGAGGAGATGAAATCAGGACGAGTGGTGGTGACACCAGAAGTGGAAGGCATGACGGACATCTGGTTCTATCAGGACGGCTTCATCAAGAGCAAGGTAGGGACTGACTCGAAGTTTGAAATGTAGGAAGCACTTCCAGATCTGACACTTTCATCCACTCATCCATGGGAACATTAACAACGTGCTGCATGTGTGCCCTGTAGATGTCCCAGACCATGAGCCTCCAGGTGATGGGCAACGTCGAGCCTGGATCCAAGGTGGTTTTGTGGACCGAGACCAGGCAGCCCATCCAGACCTGGACAGCCAAGATGAGAGGCCTCATCAGCAGCCTGACTTTCTCCGGCATGGTCCTGGATGTCAAAGGTAGGGGAAGAAAACATCTTGTTAACTGTTACCTGACAGAGGATTTCCTGCAGTTACACGGATCTCATTAGCTTATTGAAGAAGGAGAATGGGAAAGTAAAAAACACCAAGACATATTCTGAATACAAAGAAAAGCAGAATAAAGATTACGATAATTTTTTAACCAACCACTGAAAATTAATTTCTATGGAATCTGCCATATCTGCAAACAAAACACATTATAACTCATGAACCCAACCATTGAAATCTTTCCACTTCAGAGAGGCTGGGGTTGGTTGGAGGGTTGGAGGGTTGGAGGGTTGGAGGTTGGAGGGGGGTGTTGATGGTATCTTGTCATGAACAAATGGAGGCACCAGCTTGAAATGAATGCAAAAATGATCAAAGTTACCTTGAACCCCCTCTTCCAAGTTACGGGAGGGAATTTAAACAATTCTTAAACTTACATTTTTGTTTAATTATTTTGTTGTTCTGTTGTTTTGTTTCACAAATAAAACTGGCTGAGCTAAAAATTTGAGAAGCTTTGAATTAGGGGCGGCAGAAGCTCGGTCTGTAGGGACTTCAAAATAATGATAAAAATGTACAGAGTATTAGGGTCACTTCAAAGTCATAATAAAGTGAAACAAGTTGTAAATCAACAAGATAAAAGTTTTAAGTTTGCCAGAATAGAACTTTCATTTTACTCTGAGATTAGATGTTTTATTTTGAAGGGCAATATCAAAGAAGCAGCCAGCGGCCTGCACTGAAACGAGGAACGTGAAACTTCTAGTGAAGTTGTAGCCTTTTTAAATAGCCTCATCGCTTTTAGGCTTCATTCATTCAGCAGCTCATGATCATTAGAATCATACATCAACAGAATATGAAATACTCAAACAGGTAATTAACATTTTACCATTAAAGTCGTTGGAGTTGGCGCTGATTTGACCACTTACTTACTCATGGATAGTTCAGCAATAAGTCCAGAGGGGCTGATTGTCCACAGGCGAGGCAGGCAACTGCTTGGGGGCCCCAGGCCGGTAAGGGGGACCTCAAGGGTTTGACAAACTTTACACCACAGCAGTGGCTCAAAATGTGCAAATTTTCCAATGACAGTAGGAACCTCCCTAATGGGGCCCCACCTGACAGCACTCAATCTCGTTGCCCTGCCTAGAATAGCATGAATTGTTGTTTTGAAAACCGAAGACCAATGAAAGAGTAACAAAAAGGAAGAGGAGTAAGTGTTGGAACACAGGTGGTGATGAACGCTGGTTGGAACGCCCCCCAAAGAATTTTTGCCTCGGGCCCCAGTAGACTGTAGAATCGCCACAGACTATAATGTTACCATGTGAAGAAAACTTCTCAACAAGACACATTTTTCTTTTTCTCCAGGAGGTAAAACGTACGACAAGGACCATGTGGTGATCATGCCGGAGAGCGAGGAGAGGCCGAGCCAGCAGTGGGAGATCGATCTGCTGTAACCTGCTCTGAACATCAACGTCTTTTTGTTTCTGTCCCCACGACGAAGCTTCCCTCAGCAGTTCATCCACATCACGTTAGCTTTTCAAAATAAAACTCCCTCAAGGCTCTGGGACTAACACTTTCGCTGCCTTTTGATGTAAATAATTTCAGTGCCTTGAAAGTGTTTTTTACTTTTTTTTTTTTAATTCCATTTTCTCAAAGTCTGAAAAATCAGGAAGCTGTCATTGCCTTGACCTGGGTCAGTGGCCGGGTTCACCACAAGAGGTTGAAAGCAAGAATAAAAGTATTAGTTATTGAACTGCTGTATATAAACCTTTTATTTTGTATGTAGTAACTGGGGCTTTGTATTTGACTCTGACCTTTATCTGGAGTTATCACTGTCACTATTTGGGTATTCAAACTATAATGACTCTCTTTGTTTGATTCCCCCGCTCATGTAAATTCTCCCAACTGTAGAAGCCCTTAGTCATGAGTGCGTTGCTCACTTTATTTTTATACTGAAGCAAACCAAGTTATCGTTTCCTGTGGACATCGTGGAGCAGCAGCAAGCGGCTACAATATGCCTTTAAATAAAAATGTGTTATTACAAATGCTTCTGAAGCCACATGAAAGGGAAGTGTGCAAGAGAATATATATTTGAAAGGTCTGCTTTGTACCGTACTGTATGAACTAATGTTAAGAGGGAAATGTTGCAATTATAAAAATGGGTTGTGTGTGTGTGCCCTTTTACTCTTTCTACTTCTTGATGTATTCTTGTTATGAGTCACATGTTACACAGAATTTAATGTTGCCTGTTAATATTTGATACGAAATAAATTATTATGTAAAAATGTCATGTAATAGGGAGTGGTTTTAAAGTGTTAAATAAATAAAAAACTTAATATAAAACCATGCAGATATATTTGTCATTCATCGCTGATATTTGTCTTTCATGTTTAACTGTTTCTGTTTCTTGTTCACTCACTTGAAGCATTTATCCAGATTTTTTGGGGGTAATTTGAATTCAAATTTAAAGGTCACATATTATGCAAAATACACTTCACCATGTTTTTCTAACACTAGTATGTGTCCCTAGTCTGTCTACAAACACTGCAATGATGAGAAAAGTCCTTCCTCTCTGTTTTTTGCCTGCTCCACTTTTCCGAAAATGTGTGCTCAAACAGGCCGTTTGGAGATTTTCCCTTCATGACATCACAAAGGGCAGTAACCCCTCCCCCCGGGTGGGTGACACTCCCACAGCTATAGTGTTTGTTCTGCCCTCTGAGTCTGCCTTCTCACCATAAACAATCGGGCATGGAGCGAGCAAGCCTGAGCCACATCCCCTTCCAGAGAGGGGGCGTGGTCAAACACAGCTCATTTGCATTTAAAGGTACAGACACAGAAATCGCCTGTTCTGAGCAGGGCTGAAATAGATAAAAAATGCACACTGCCTGAAGGGAAGGCGTAGCCTCACAGTTGCACCCTGAGACCTTCAGAGGGCGCTAAAAGTGCACCAAATCACATTCCTACATATTGATGCTTTAACTGTTTTCCTCTTATTATAACACTTTGCTTTTATCTCTTGCGGTTACAATTCCATCCCTCACTCTAGAGATCAATAACAACTGAAATACTTTCAGATTTTGAAAATAAACTTAGAATTTAAAAGTTTTGAGCTTGGTGGTTACACATTCACTCAAAATGTCACTGCTTTCATCGCTTTCTCTTTGACTGCTGGTTCAACAGCTTGGTCTTAAATCAGCAAATCAGGAAACCTTCAACAGTTTAGCGTCGGCTGATTTTCTATTTTTTACCTTCCCCCCTATAAGGACACTGAGCGGTAACACCCATTAAACTCATTTCAGCACTTTGATTTCAGCTGCTGTTTTAGCCTCTTTAAGGCTTTATATGAAACCAAACCAAAACAACTTGCGCTGCATTGTTGTGTTAGCATGCTAATGCTAGCTATCTTTATTATGCTGGTATCTTCACACTGCATGTAAGTTTACCTGAAATGAGCGTGATCTAGAAACACAGTTAAGCAGTGAGTACAGTATGTTATTCTTCTTTTCTCTAGTCCATCAATTAAACAACTTTTATACACGAGGGGAGGAGTCAGCCGACGTCCGGGCGATGTAAACAAAGTGAAGATAGGACTCTGAAAACTCTGAAAACATCACAGACAGTGGGACTCGGGTGTTATACTTGGATATACTTGATTTCTATTATATTTAAGTGAAAAATCACATAGAAAGACTTTAAGTATTTGTGTTTTGGCTGAAATTTCTCTTAATTTTTTTTTACATCTGTTTCACATCAGACAGCGAAATTTCCTCACTAAGCCCTTACTGTATAGGCTCTATTGTCTTCATAAAATGCCCTGTTGCTGTACAGTAGTTCTGCTGTGTTTGTACTAAACACACTGGTCTCATATTTCTTTTAGCTCTGCATTATTTATTCATTAAAACACTATCGTTTGAATGGCCTGTTTATGTGTGCCTATGTCATCTTAAAGTGAATGTGATACCTCTGCCTGCGTCTCTCTCTCTCTCTCTCACTCTCCTGACTGAAGGGAAAAGGGCGGATGAGGGTTTCCTGAGTATCAGATTGTTATCACTGCCGACACAAACGCAGGTGCTGAAAAGCCCTTTTGTTAGCTCTCGTGACACAATCTAATTTTCAGGTTTAGTGGCTAAAGCACCATCAGGTTATACATGAGCATGAGCACTCCACTCTGACCCTGAAAACCAGTCAGCCTGATACTCACAGAGATGTGACTTGTTGATCAGATATCTGCTCCATCTTGCTGGAAATATGTAAAAAAAAAAAAAAAAGACTATGGTCTATCTTGAAAACCTGAAAACACTTGATCATTCATATTTTCTACAATCAACCACAAAATCTAAATCCAGCGGTCGCTTTCCGGATCAGCTGTAAAAATAAAAAAACTTGATTGTCTGGATTCTTTCTTTGGCAGGAATGTGAGTAGTTCAGAAGTGGGTTGTCATGGCGATACTACAAAGGCAATGGTGTGTCAAAGCAGCGATTGGTCAGCTGTCAGTTTATTGAACTTCAGCAGGCGTGGCTGTATTAAAGGGTGGGACGGACTGAGACACTGGGCTGATTATGAAAGGGGTTGTAAAAAAAAAAAAAAAGCTCCACTACACCTCCACACCTTCCTACAGCTGAAGCCAGCATTCTGTTACAGGTAAGAGAAATCAAATAAAGCTAGAAAAATGTTGCATTTGGGTCATTCTGTGTGAGCATTTTTAGTCTCTAAGATAACAGAGAAGTTTTTGTTGACTCAGCAACAAGATTAATGACTGAAATTCTAATCCAGCGATTGATTCATCCAAACTGTAGCTTCTCTTTCCTGCTATTCACTTCAAATATAATTACTTTCATACTCTCTCCATGCCTGTGAATGAAACTATATCATATTTATCCCATTTTTCATGTCTTTCTTTCAGTTAAAACAAAACAATGGACCCTGACTACTTCAGATCGTATGTGAGTAGACGTTCCCCGCACCCTGTCGTCTCTCCACTGTTTCATTATGACTCTATTTACCAAGATGCCATACTGTACCTGCAGATAAAGTAATCTGCTTTGCTTAGTGTTCTCTGGTTATCTGCATGCCTTCTAATGTTATCTACAAACCTCACTGCATGTGACGACTTCAGGCCAACTGGAATGCTGCATTGTGAAATCATGCTTATTCGGCTCAGATTTGAAAGTAAAGACAGTGAAGTTGATTCACAATTTGAAGCTTAATTTCAGACTGGTGGACTTTTATGTGATTCTTAAGATGGCCTTTTACTCGTCCAACCCTCCCTTCCTTTAGTGTCAGAAGAAGAGTGGAATATTTGACATTCTTTGCATTCAAACGTGATGAAAACTGCCTTGTATCTTTGCTCATCTTTCATGATATGTTCTTGTTTCACACCTCCCTCTGCTCCCTGACACCCAATGTGCACATTTCCTATAGAAACAGAGAGGATGTGGACTCTATATGTGAAGCTCTCTGCGCCATGTTAAATGTTTGTCTAAATGTATTCTCTCCATTTACAAACAGGACATGTGTTGGGGTACCCTTGGAACGGTGCGACCCTCTTCTATTTTCCATCCTGACCGAGATGCCATCGAGATCCAGGCAGCTCTGGAGAAGAAAGGTTGGTGTATATACTTCTGCTGCTTTTGACTGGTGGGGGCGTTATTGGCAAACATTGTACACAAACCATTACTCTGTTTCTCAGTATCATTCCCAGCCCTGTTATCAAATATTCAGTTTCACAATTGGTGTCCTAACATTGTGTCCATGTCTCAGACGAGGGCACTCTGGTGAGGATCTTAACCAATCGGAACAACGCTCAGAGACAAGAGATGCCAAAACCTTTGAAGAAATAACACAAAAGGTAAAAAAAAAACTTGAAAAAAACCTTGACCTGATGATTAATATATCAACTCAACCTTACACACCTCTGCCGCTGGAGACATTTAGAAACTCAAACATGATATTCATGTGAAGAGGTTGTTGTAATGACTGTATGTTGCAAATGTGTGTGTTTGCTCTCCAAGTGATTCTCCGTGTTTGCAGATCAAATATTATTGAAACTGGTCTCAAAGAGTTGAACACACCTTTGTTTAGAGAGGGAGGAGAGATGTTCTTTGAAAGTTTGTATGAGGTCGTGTCGGGATATTCAAAATCAGCAACATCACAAAACAGGCAAATGGGTTGATTTTCTGTCCCCTCATGTTGGAAATACAAATTCTACCAAACTCTTATCTCCTCTTCACCATTTTGTCATCAAAGAGTCAACAATCTCTTTACAGTAACAGATAGTTGCTCTCTTTTTATACTCAGGAATCATACAAGTGTTTTTTTTTTAAATAAAAGATGTTTTTCATTTTCCATTACCCCCCTAATTATTCCTTTAAATCATGTGATCTTCACTGGAACACATATTCATGGCTTTTCCACAATGCTATTAAAGCATATAGCCCCATTATGGAGTATGCTATTAATTATTAGTAAGTGTCCCCAGACAGTTAGCATGCAACAGGTGTAGCAAGAAATTATTGCGTAAGCTTTTTTCACAGTGCAATTTCGCAAGGATAATGAAGTTCTGCCGTCATTACGCCTTAAGATTTTCATATTGATTCTGCAGCGGCACAATGTTGGTGTCAGAGTCGGTGAATTAAAATTGTCACAGGGCTTTGCGGCAGCTCAAGAGAGAGCACAGCACAGTGGGAGCTTCACATACACACAGTCAGACATGCACAAACACGGCGCTGTTCTCCCCTGCTGGTACTGCCCCCCCCCCCAACCTCGAGCAGGATCAGTTTGATGTTAAACAGCCCATCTGCCTATACTGTGCTTTGATAGAGTGAGACAAACAAACACAGTAACAACAAATACAATAGATTTTTTTATTTATAGGCGTGAGTCTTCATTTTAAACTTTAAGTGTTCTGTATGTCCATGGCATGTGCATGGCAGGATATGAAATGCATTCAGTGTTTAATGTTATTCTGCAGGACCTGTCAGCTGGTGTGAAGAAAGCTCTGTCTGGAGAACTGCAGAGTTTACTGTTGGAGCTGCTGATGCCTCCTCTGCAGTACGAGGCTCATCGCCTGCAACAGGCCATGGCTGTAAGTAGTTGTTTGTGTGTTTCTTTACATATTAATAGTGCTTTAAGTGAGTGTTTTTTTATGTTCCCATGCCTGAATCCTTGCAGGAGTTGCTGGGATTTTATCATACAGTTTTAGTCCTTTACTGTATGTGTGTGCTGGTTTCTTTGCAGGGTATAGGCACCGATGAGGAAACGCTGCTCGAGATTCTTTGTACACGATCCGGCAAGCGCCTTCGAGAAATCAGTGCTGTATACCAACAATGTGAGCCACAGAAATGTTTTTTTGCTTGATAGTCGGGGACATTTAAATGCAATTCATAAACTCATGTGTCTGTCATGTTTATCTTCCAATTTAGTGTTTAAGAAGGACCTGGAGAAGGAACTGAAAGGAGAAACCAGTGGAGACTTTGCTAAGCTTGTTTTGGCTCTCCTAAATGTAATTTGAGTATTTAGTTCCTTTACTATCATCTTAACCTTGTTTGTGTAGCAAGCAGGGGCGTGTCCAGAGGGGTGGCATGGGCCCCCCTCTAGAAATCTGATTGGCCACCCCAGGTGCCAACCCAAAAATCCTAAACTGTGATATGTTATTTGCCCTGTCAAAGGCAGAACTTTATCAGAAAATGTTTTTAAGTCTTAAGTGTTGTCCTTCTCCTGCCTCCTAACAGAAAGAAGATGTTGCTGGTGTGGTTCGAAGAGATGTCGAGGTATTTTAATTTTCCTAATCCTTTTTTTGCTTCAATACACAGCATGACATGTTTCATCAGCCGACATTAGCTATGATTGTAAAAAACACAGATTACTCTTAAGTACTTAAACAATGATTCAAAAGCAGATTCAGAACATTTCACATCAGAGGCAGCCATCTTGGTAGTTTATGCATCAACAGCCCCTTAAAAAGTCCCCTTTAAACGGAAATGCGCGACTATCTGACTGCCGAGTCGTGACGCATATCCAACTTAAAAGGGAGCAGAACCAATCACAAGATAGAAGGCGGGACATAACATTGGGATTTACTTTATTGGATTGTTAGCTTCTTCTGCAAAGCTTTATTTGGTCGTCCCTGAGTGCAGGATGTGTCAACAGACATTTGAAACATGCTACAGGAAGAGAACAACACAGTTATGTGCAGATAATAGCAGATAAAAGAACATTTAACACAGGAGCGCTGGATTATAAACAGGCAAATTGTATTTTTCATTTCATGGGGACTTCAAAACTTCTCCATATTTGGTTGTGATTGTCCAGATCTGAATCTGTTTAGAAGGAAATTTGAGGAGGTGGACTGGAAGCATCTTCCAAAGACAATTGAACATGAGCACATCCTGTAGATTCACAACATTTAGTCAGCCCGCAGAATGTTTAAACTGTACTTCAGATGTTTTCTTGCACACATGCATTTTTCACCTAAAATGTTCTTGCCATTCTACATCATTGATTTGTGTTGCCTTGGTATAAAGGCAGGAAGGAACACCACTTCACTCTTAAAGAAGACATTTTGTTCTAAGAATCTCCATCAGTGTCACAGTATTGTTTTTATTTTTTCCTCTAGACTCTCTTTGCGTCACTGAATGCGAAAAAAGCTGATCCGGGGCCGTGGATCGACATACTGACTTCTAGAGATTTAAGCCATCTTGAAAAAGGTGAGGCTGTGACACATTTTTCTGACATGGTTTATTATGCCTATTTGTCCTTGTGTTCGTGGGGATCACTGAAATTGAAATGTGTCCGATGTGTCCTTCGCTGTCAGTGCTGATGGGGCTGGAGCTGGAGAGCGGACTGATGGTGGATCAGGCTGTGGAGAAACGCTTCACTGGAGATGTGCAACTGGGTTTATCAATTTTAGGTAAATACTGTTCTTGATACTGTGTGAGAGTTTTTTTAATATGCATTGTGCATGTTGATGAGTCACTGATTTTTGTTTTCCTATGCAATAACAGTGCAGTGCATTGAAGGCCCTTACGTCTACCTCGCCAAAAGACTAACTACTATGAAGGTAAGATGCTGTAATCAAATGTTTCCTTTATTCTGATGATTTATGGAACTTGAAAAAAGACTGATTGAGGAATGGCTGAATTGATTCTTTACATATCATACAATAAAAATATACGTTTAATATACATAGTTTACTAATTATGAAAGACTTGTTTTCCTGGCACAGCAATGAAATTACTAAGTAAAGTAAATAGAGGTGGATTGTTTGTAAATCTCATCCCAATATCCAACTTTACCACTAGATGGCACTCAATTCTAAACACTGGTCCTTTAAATGTCTGACAAGCATTATGAAATGTTTCAAATGGGTAATAACTCCCTTTGCTTTTTGCCAACAACTAGGAAATCACATGTGCAAATGTGAGTGGTTTAAAAAAATCTACCTTTAAAGGCAAACCTGCGTGAACTACTGTCCAACAGACATGTTTCACTCTGAGGTTGAAAAAAAAAACTCTTAACAAACCATTTCATTTTTTCAGGCACCTATAGTGCAGGGGATTATGGTGTCTCACTGTGAGGAAGATCTGCTGTGTATCAGAGCTGCCTTCAATAAATTAACAGGAACGTCTCTCTACACGACTCTACAGGTGGGTCACTCTCATGAAACTGTGAAATAAATAACATAATATGTTTCTTCCCCCCTTACATTATAAAATGTAATGAGAAAATCCCTGTTGATTTACAAATCATGTTAATTTCTTCTTTTTCCTACAGAACAAGTTCAAAGGAGATTATCTACACGCTCTGCTGGCCATCTGTCGATCTGAAGATTAATATAAATAAATGTTTAACAAACTCATGCACGCCTTGCGTATACTTCCTCAAAAATCCTTTATATGCAACTTGTGTTGGGTTTTTCTGTGAGTGCAGTTTAAGTTATTTGTTTTTTATTACCTTTGTATTCACCACATGATGATGAGTCATACATTATTCAGTTTCAAAACACCATGTATGAACAAACAACATTTCACCCTTCATGTTATTAATTAGTTACACATTTTGCGACAATACTGTTCCTCCTTTTTTAAATACTACAAATTGAATATATAATTGAACATTGTACTATATTATAAATTGATAGTATAAGAATTTCCATTTTAAAAAAAACTATATTTTTGTCTTAAATAACTTTAAAACACTGACTTGAGAAGATAGGATTTCTGCTCCTACAAAGAATTCATGCTTGACATTGACAGAGCTACATTCAATTTTTTTTTTAGATTTCTTTATTTAAAAGGGACAACGCAAATTAATTAACAAGAGCAACGAAGTCCCACATGTAAATGTGCCAGATTTAGCCATACAGGCTAATTTTCATCTGCAGTCCCTGGCAGGTTGATGACATTTAAGAAAACATTAAAAAGCATACAGGAAAATGCAACACAAAAACATAGACACAAGAACACATAAGCATAACAAATAAAACAACACAAGTGTTAGTTAAAAGATAACACATACACATGGAAGCAATTGATAGAGCAGCACACAGACATAAAATAAAAATGTGTAACATATAGCACATTTAAATATATGAGCATTTAAACACAGACAAAAGCACCATGCACAGAAAAGGAGCATATACAGTATAAGAACAGACAAGAAGCATAAGCGCACAGACTACAAGTAAAAACAAAGTACATTAATCCAGATTATGGCAGCATGTCTGATTGTTTAATAGCAATTGTTTTATAGATTTAGAAAAGGATTTCAGAGATGTGATGTTCATTAGTTCTGTGGGTATAGTATTCCAAGTATGTGCTGCTCGAATTACTTTTTATATTGACCTCCAAATACCTGAAGTTTATTAATGTGCACATTAAATTTAACTTAAATCTGTTCCATCTTTAGAGTGCACCTTCATTCACTATTATTCAACATTCACCCGAAGACACAATTTCAAAAAGTTAAAATTTACCAGTTACTGCTCGGTGGCAGTAGAGTGTAGAGCAACACTGGCATGACAGAAAACAGCAGAGAAGCTCTGACGCCTGACCCTCCACTGTCTGGGGTGGTAGACTTGGCTGTAGAGTTTGTAGGAGGAAATGGTGTAGAGGAGGTTATATTGGGAGGGGGTGCAGACGAAGCATTGGTTGGGGAAGAGGATGTAGTCATCGGCATAGAGGAGGTCGTAACACCTGTAGCAATGGAAGGGGTTGCAGATGAAGTCTTGTTTGGCGGAGGGGATGTAGTTATCGGCATAGAGGAGGTCGTACCACTTGTAGCAATGGAAGGGGTTGCAGATGAAGTGGTCGTTGGAGCAGTAGTTTCAGGCATGGTGCTAGTCAGTAGGGTAGTGGTACTCGTCTGGGTGGCAGCAGTGGGGGTGGGGCTGGTTGTTAAAATGATTGTGGTGTTTGGAGGAGAAACAGTTTTAGTGATGGTTATAGGCATAGCTGTAGAAATCCGTGTGAAAGCTGTTGTAGGCGGGATCATAGTACTATGTGATCCATTATTTGAATCAGAGGCTTTGGTCAGTTTTTCCGGTGAAGTACCAACATGAGTAGTCATTTCTAGAGCCTGATTGGGAAACGAGATGAAAAATTATTTAAATCAGTGTTACAAACAAAAACTTTTGTGTAGACACCAACAATACAGACGTTTCCAATTCCCATCAGTCTAAAAATCTTTGAGTCTTATCATTGAAATATAGAAAACATGTTTTTGACTTATTTTAAAGTATTGTGTTATCTTGTCCTTTTGATAAAAAAAATTAATACATTTGTATCCGCACTCAAGCAATTTTTTCCCTTAATTAAACCACTTAAAAAACAGAGTTCAAACTATTGGCGCAACAGATACATTTAGAAGTTTTCTATCAAAAGTTTGTAGCAACCCAAAAAAAAGACACATTCGATGGGTGTATACAACATATTAAATTACATGAACACCTTGAGTGACCTTTTCAGGACAATGACACAAGTCAGCACTGACTCATCCACAATGACGATACCAACAGACTGTCCGTCTATCTATTGATTGATTTTTTTATTTAATTAGGAATGTGTGAGTTTGAACAAGTATATTAACAGATTTTCTTGTAGAGTCATTTTTTTTAAATATTCTGAATTTGTAAGTAGTTACCTGTCCAAAAGCCAGCAAAGCCAATATGTAAAATCCCCGAGCCATCATCGTCCCTGATGGAAGGCCAAGTGGAGACAAAGATGCAGCAGAAATGTAAATGAAAATGTCCCAGAAATCTGCCAGATATGTTTTCTAGTGCGGGGAAAGTTCTCCCACTGTGACCTGGTCTGCTTCCGGTCTCCTCTGGTAAACTAAGCAGATCATTTTTCCCTCCACTTTTATACAGAAACATCATGTTTCAGGGAGGGGAGAGTTTATGACGTACAGTATAAATCTGGCTCTGGATCCAGGAAGGAGCTGCAAGTGTGTCGCGTGTGTGGCAAGGATAATTTTTCTATTCTCAGCCATTTCTTATGACCGCCATTGTAAATTGCACTCATAAAAATGTACAATCTATACTGACACAGTTCCTGATACTAAAAATATTAGAGTCAATACTGCAATAAAGCGATTAACTATCAACTTCCTCAATGTTTTCATCAAACAAATCATTTACAATCAAGCCTCAATTATTAAAATATCATAGTACTCTTATTACATACAGAGTATTTTAGAAGACCCCTTATTGTTTTAATTTCACGACATTTTTAAAATGTTGTAACTTTTTATGGCACAATGATGGAAAATATTCCATTTCCTCATTGTGATGTTAACTCCTGGTTTAATTTTTAATCTAAATAATTCTGTATGAATTACTTCTGCTGGAGCTGCATGTATTTCCTCCTTTGTGGATAATTGACAAGGACAACCCCAGTTTGGCTAGGACACAACGTTAATGAAAAGCTTAAGCACATTTTTGTTTTGAAGGAGGCTTGACCATTTTCTTTTCTTTGTGAGAGAGATGGAATGACACTTTTTGTAAATCATTAATTTAATCTTTTTCAACAATATCTTAACTCTAGGGTCATCGTGCTTTCAAACTCTTCTTTTTCTTCTGTCTTTGACCCAACAGGATATAAAACGCATCATATGAAAATGAGGTATTAGTTGTAAACTTCTTTATGCGCTGGTAAGAGAATAGACATCCATTCTTTGAGAGTTAACTGAAGATGGTGTACAAATACATCCATAGATAAAGATGGATTAAAACATGACAGACAGAAGTCTAATGACGGGGTGTTGGCTCAGTATTAAGTCTATTATTTCTTACTCCAGTAACAAACAAGTGTGCGGAGCCTCCCTCTTTTATAAACTGTAACAATCTACCCACTTCTCACATCATCATTAGGCAACACATGAAAGCTGAGGCGAGTTTTAAGCCTCTTGACAAATGCAATGTAGCACCCACTTGTCAATCAAGTCAGCTATATTGTAAATATCACTTATCCCTCATGACATCATTAACAGATGAGTCATAAAAAAATCCCCCTTACAGTGTGTACCAATCAACACATGAGCTTATCAGACCTTATTTGTTTTTTGAACCGGGTGCTACACAATTTAATTTCTGCTGTAAAAAAACAACTTTTTTGAATGGGTGTGTATGTGATTTCTGGTGTTTCTGCAGCAAGCCTCAAGTGGAAACTCGATGAACTGCAGGATTTTGCAATTCCGCATTGGCTTCACTTCACTTCTCTACTCGATATTCTGCCCAAAGGTCACAGAGGTCATTCAACTACAACAACAACTTCTGTCACATTTCTCTCACTCTTTTCTTAAAAGCTGAACATAATTCCCAAGAGAGTTGTAGTGGCTCTCTGAAGTCTCTGATGTTGTCATTTCCTGTCTCATCACCATACAACTCTACACTGCTCAGAGCGGTTATTTTAGCATCAGGAATGTTGAGTGACAGCAGATGCGTTCGCTGCGTCCATTATTATTTACAGTCTGATTCCATAAGGCTGCCTAGGTCTTATTTCTTACAACCACATTCTGATTGTTGTCGTTAACACTTAAAAGAAAGTCCAACTTAGAAAATATATGTTACTGAATAATACTCATTTATATTTGATACATTTTTTGTCCACGCTTAGTTTATTCTGTTTTGTTTTTTTACATCAAGTAAGTGCAAGTGTACTAATTTACAACAAAAATCAATCTAGTACACATATAATCGTTGCTTTAAAGGTCAATCCAATTATAGTGTGACATATGTGACTTAATAATTCATACATTCATTCATGTTATAGGATGCTTGTGTAATATATGTGATTAGATAATATAATTTCTCACACAGGACAATAAATAAACCTATATATGTGTATAGTGTAAACCTCAGTGAGGATGTCGGCTACCACCTTCCAAAAAGCTTTAAATACAAACAAATATATTTTACTCAAACTGAATTACATGTATCTTTGCCTGTGAGTTAATAAACAAACAGAAACTGTCATAGTGACTCTCTAGCCATAAGCCTAAATATTATTTCAAATATATTTTCATCTCATTAACCTCAAGTTAATATGATATAGCCTACACATCTAAAAAAGGGCTGCAGTTTAAGACTAATTTCTGTTCTGAGCCAATAGAGGGCGCTCATTTCCAAAGTGCTTGAAGTAGGAACGACCCAAACAGCAGAGTGACAGAGGTGAAGACATGGCTCTGTCCGTTTCCTGAGCTCGAGCCACTAGTGCCGGTGGACGTGCCCGAGCCACCAGTGCCAGTGGACGTGCCCGAGCCACCAGTGCCACTGGACGTGCCCGAGCCACCAGTGCCGGTGTACATGCCCGAGCCTGAGCCTGATCCCGAGTCATGTGGCGAAGTTGAATTGTTGGTAGCATTGGAGTTTGGTTTGTCTTCCATTGACTCCTGCTGTAGAATGTAAAATGAGATTTACAGATTAATTCAATAACATGCCACTGAAAATAATTCATTTTTTTCCCCCATAATATTACATTCAGGCCAATTTTATGGTGAGCAAAAAACCTCCAAGAACGCACGTTTAAACGTAAGCATTGATTTAAATGACAAGGACGAAAACGAAGACATGTTGTAAAATGATGTGTATCTCAACGTCAAGTCAAGTTTATTTCTTTAGCACATTTCAGCAACAAGGCCAATCAAAGTGCTTCACACAAGACATCAAAAGCATCGAGACAAAGAGGGAAAAGAAAGTTTAAAAATCACTAAAACAAACCATTACTGATCACAGAGAAGATTAAATATGAAGATATTAAATACAATCAAATTAGAAAGACCCAACAGAAATGCAGAAATAGACATTAAAATACAAAATAAATAACCTCAAATTTGTAATGACGATGTAATCTGCACTGTGTGCCGTTCAGTGTGAAAGGCTATTGCTGTGGAGTCGCTGAGTCAGAGTTTTCTCTGCCCGACAGACACAGATTCACCTGCTGGTCTTATCTCTTTGAGGTCAGTTTAGGCTCACAGTTTGCTCTGTCTGTGTCCGTCCACAGCTTTAGGGCGCGATCACACTGGCCATCTGTACCGTGCCGTATTCAAGCTTATGGCTTAATTTAAGCCATTTTTATCAGACACAGTAATAAATAAATTAAAAAGTAAAGTAGACGCGCAGGGATCAAGTCTTACTGTTTATTTCGTTTATTAACAGTATAAGAGCCTTTGCTGTAGAAATGTGGCCTTTTTTTATTGTTTTACTTTTAAGACTGAAGCTCGATATTTCAAAGTTTAAAACATATCTCCCTCTTCTTTCTATGTTTTAAGGCTTGTGAAGATATATTTTCTTTTTTTACCTTGGCGCAGACAAATCCCAGCAGAGCCAGCGAGGTCATCCCCAGGACCAGGTACTTCATATTTGATGAGAGATCTTCTCCTCTTTGAAGACAGACAACCAGCTGGAGATAACTTCTTTAAACCTCAGAGTTTTTTGTTGTTGTTGTTTTTGTTTAAAAGATTAGACAATCTTTGTTATTCTCCTGCTCGTACTCAGGTGTATCTTAGGCGAACGTCTCAGATGTGTAAAAGGTGTGTATCCCGGGGACTTGTCTTTTATAAGGCGCTCTGATTATTCACCTGATGCTTATTTCCATCCGGGCCGCCTTCCATCAGTCTCCACCCCAGCAGCTATGGCTCACAGATGCAAAACCTCACACACATCTATCAAGAAGGTTTAAGAGAAATGGTCTCTGCTGCTACTTGCACAGTCAGGTGGTTCTCTTTAAAGCAGCCCTTGATATCAAACTGTGTCGTTTCTCTCAGGTCAAATTTAATTGAATAATAAATAATAACTGCATATGAACAACCCTCTCGTGCTTAAATGTCGCAGTTACACAATTTAAAGCTAAAAGGGGCAGTGGTAGCTCAGTCTGTAGGGACTTGGGTTGGGAACTGGTGGGTGGCACGTTCAAATCCCGGTGCGGACCATATCTGGAAATTGGTCTGGTAGCCGGAGAGGTGGAGGTGTCTCCAAACAGCGGTTTTGGTTTCATGCTGGTGCTCATTGGTGACATCTACTGGATCAAAAAGTCGCACATTCTTCCTTTAAAGGCTTTATGTGCGATTTTTTGATCCAGCAGATGTCGCCCTTGAGCACCAGCATGAAACCAAAACAACTTGCGGTGCATTGTTGTGTTAGCATGCTAATGCTAGCGATCTTTATTACGCTCGTATCTTCACACTGCATGTAAATTTACCTGAAATGAGCGTGATCTAGAAACACAGTTAAGCAGTGAGTACAGTATGTTATTCTTCTTTTCTCTAGTCCCTCAATTAAACAACTTTTATACACGAGGGGAGGAGTCAGCCGGCCGTCCTGGCGATGTAAACAAACTGAAGATAGGACTCTGAAAACTCTGAAAACATCACAGACAGTGGGACTCGGGTGTTACACCCATTGTAGACAGTCATGACTCACAGAGTTATTTTCAGAGGATATACTTGATTTCTACATTTAAGTTTGAATATAAAGCCTTTAAATCGACTGTTAAGTCTCCAAAAGGCAATGAAGTTACACGACAACATATAGACAACATTTTCCCAAACCGTTTAATTTTTAGTTTTGCACAATTTGTTTTTTATGAAACCTGCTCATTATTATTTCTCAAATCATGTTGGACCAGTCAGTATGCAGAGATCACCCGATGGAAAACAGAAGACACAAAACAAAAAACATGACATGCATTTGAATGACCCTTCATTTTTTCAAAACTAAAAGTGCAAATAGGGTGGCAGCATGAACTCCACCGTTCTTATCAGTTGTTGTAAGAAGTTAACTTTATACAGGATTCATCCAGTTCTTCTCACACCTCCCTCCAGGTTTCTAATCTGTTTTTTTACATTCTGCACTTGAGTTTTCCACTAATACATTTAGGAAAATGTGTTTTGAATAAAAAAACAATTAATCCTTTAAAACCTGTTGAGAAACATCTTATCCTTGTGTTTCTGTTTCCCTCTTTGTGATTGAAGTATAGTTTAGATATGTGAAGCATGTGGTTGTACATTGTTTATTGGTACCTTGTGGAACCTTTCTGATCAAAAGTGGAAATAAGCTCATTGCAAACAAAGCACTTAATAACAAAAAAAAAGTGTGACTGTCACTATTTTTTCAGCGGATTAAAAAAAGAGGTTGAGATTTTGAAAAGCTGAATCTGTGCCCTCTCAGCCCTCTGCACAGTAGAGGAGGACGGAAACAACTGGCACTAACAAGTACTGCAGGAGCCCGTCATAGAGGCAGACCCTCCTTTTGTGGTCGTAGCCGAAGTCGTTGCAGTTTTAGTCTCAGTCTCAGTCGGAGGAGGCCGAGAGGTGGAGGGTGTAACGGAGGCCGTCGACAGAGCTGAGGTGGAGGGAGAGGAGGCCATGGTGGTTACAATGTTGTTGCTGTCGGAGGTCACGGGAGTCGAGGTGTGGTTGGACAGTTGTGTTGTTGTTGATAATGCAGGTGGGGTGGTACTGGATGAGTCCGTGTTGTTACTTGTCACTGTAGCGTTTAGCTCCTGTGGAAGAAAAACATCAGTTTACACCAGGGCTGCTTTGAAAATTATTATTTTGATTGATATTGAGATCATGATTTGACAGAATCTGCACATTTAAACTTTCTGAACACACACACACACACACACACACACACACACACACACAAGGTAGTGGTGAGATCCTCTTGTTGGCGACAATTTGAAACATTTACTACACATGACAAAACCCATGTATAAAACGAGCGCAACACGGCATGCTGCACAGCAATCGTCTTATCATGATTATCTTTGTTTTCATGATCGTGGAAGATAATCGAGACTCAACATATCATGCGGTGACCTTTAAAGGTATATGACGCTGCTTTCAAACTCAAACTTCACTGAAGTCGTCAGAAGTTTTTCACAAACTTATTTTCAAACGTATCTTTTAAGCTTGGGAAACTAAAGCAAACACTTTGAGCAGGTGATAGATACCAGACGTCGGAAAATATACACCCTCAGTGTACTGACCCGATAAAAATCAGACATGTTACATTTGAATCTAAAACTACATTAAAAAAATGGCGGATTCAGGAAACCATCCCTAAACACTGACTCCTACTGTTTTCATTTCCTGCTGTATTTTACTATCAGTCAATGCCGCAGATAAAGCCACAGTGTCTCTCTGTGTAGGTGACAAACCTTCTGCAGCCACAACATGCAAAGGTCAAGCATTTGCTGATCCAGAAGAGAGGCATGAAGGATTAATCCTGCTTTGCATACTGCTGAGGTCGGTAGAAGCTTTCAGTACATGTTTGTCCTTTATTTCCTCTGACTGCACACGGCAGATCTGCATCTCTTTCTTTTTTTTGGGGGGGGGGGGTGTTTTATCTCCCCGCTAGCTTTATGTTTTCCTTATAGGTCATATCTATCAATCTGGAAATGTGAGTTATCTCGAGGCCGATAATAAAGCAGCTTCCTCCAGCATCACGCAGATCTGTTGAGTGCTTGAAAATACATTTTGTTCTGTTGTATTAAGTTCTGTGGAAGTAAAGAAGTGGAGGAGTTACAATCATACATCCATCCATCATTTATACCAGTTCTGGGTCGCAGGGGGCTGCAGCTGATCCCAGCTGTCATTGGTCGAGAGGCGGGGTACACCCTGGACTGTTCACCAGTCAATCACAGGGCTGACATATCGAGACAGACAACCAGCCACATTCACATTCACACCTACAGGCAATTTAGAGTCACAGAGGAACCTGACGAGCATGTCTTTGGACAAAGGGGGGTGGGAGTAGGGGGTCGGACCCGTGCACTCACAGGGAGAACATGCAAAGTCACACAGAGAGGCTCCTGTCTGTGCTACAACCAAAGTAATAATAATTAAGTTTGACAACATTTTTTAACAGAAAGTAAAGGTACAAGGTGTTCATTAAACTCCTCGACTAACCGTCATGACAACAAGGATTAAAGCATTAAATTCTGTGACTGGTTTTCCGAAATTTTAGGGTTTAATTTAACATATTATTTTGAAAAAAAAATTTTTTTTACTATGGATTCTTTAGTCCATTGCACACTTATTTAAAAAAAATTGCTTCTTTTTTTAAAAACTTTTTTACACAAACCGTCAACAAATAAAATCAAAACAGAGAAAGGTATACAGTCTAGCTGTATCAAGAATACAAGTCCCATTTTTCCATTCACCCATTTGCCTGAATTGTAAAATTCATGTAAATGTGTCCTTGACTTCTCACTCATTTGACTGTAACCACGCTTAAGGCAGAAAAAAACAAAGGGATTGCCGCGCTGTTTGTTGAAAGTCAATCAGTTGTGTAACCGGCGTCCACCAATCAGAGAGGCTGAGATGTTTTTAACCAGCAGTGTGCTCCTTACCTGGGTGCAGCTCAGAGACATGAAGGTCAAACACACACACAGCAGCAGCATCCTTGACTTCTCCATCGTGGGCTTCAGCTGTTTCTGTGGTTCCTTATCTGTGTGTCCCTTTATATACCTGCCAGCCCTCCATAACAATGATGCTGATAACTGTGAGGCGTCACACAGAGCTGGGCAGAAAAAAAAAAAAATGTTCAGGTGTTCAGTCCAACGGTAAAAAGTGAGGCAGCAGACAAGTGTTATGTATCTGATATGTAAAACAGAAAGCTTTGACAAACACAATGAACTCTTCAGTACTTATTAATGTCTATTAGGGCTATGTTCTGTACTAGGGGCTGCAGGTTATTAATAAAAGAAGGGCATGCTTTGCAACCAGCAACATTTTTTTGGGCAAAACTTGCACATGTTGCTGAAATCAGAGAGCTAACACTTGAAGAAACAGCAGGGTGCAACAGCTGCAATAAAGCGTGCAACAATAACACGTGAGCTACAGCTCCCATATAAGTGAGTGCAAAGAAAAAAAGGTCACATTTAGGAAAGACAAAAACTGAGGTAAACATTTTGTTTTTCCCTACTCACTGTCACAGTTCTGCTCGTTCACAGTTTGAGGTTTTCTATCCTAATAAGCGATTAGTCCTCATCTGGCATTAAGTGTCATCACACAGCTGTAAAGACGACTAGTGGACTAGTCTGTGCAACCCCTACTTTGAACTGAACCATATTACACTGATATAATAACGCCACATTTGATCCCATCTTTAGAACAGTATTGTTCAGATGCATGTTCACAGAGCTGATTGTCCTGCATGTGTTTCCCTTTCTTTTTATTACAAAATTGGTTTAAAAAAAATATCTGCAAAAAATCAAATTCAAGTCAAACAACTTAAAAGTAAAAGTCTGAAGTCATATTACTATGTCATACAAGAGTCACTGTTTTTTAGTTTTTACCAAGCAGCAACCTCCGGTGTTGAAAAATGAAGCCAATGCGGAAGTGCAAAAAATCCTGCAGTTCATCAAGTGTCCACTTGAGGCTGGCTCCAGGAACACCGAAAGTCACATACACACCCATTCAAAAAAAAGCCAGTTTTTACAGTAGAAATTACAAAGTTTACAGCCTGGTAAATATGTCTGATTAGTTATGATCCTCATGGGCAGGATTGGCATGGGTTGACTGAACGTTAGGTTGAGACAGGATTTCCAACATGGCGGCTGCTGCTGATGAGCCTCCAGAGCCCCCTGCAGTAACAGATGGCTGACGTCACTCAGGCTTCATCCATTAATATTTACAGTCTATGGTTTTTACAGTGTAGATGAACACAAACTCTGAACGTAAACAGGTAGAGAACACAGAAACATCGTCACTTTGTGATGAATCACAGTTACATTATTAACTGTTACAATATTAGGCGTCAGTCACATTAAAATCTAAAGCTTTGTTGGGGCAGCTGCTTCTGTTATTCATATTTAATGCTTATAATTTACATTTATATATTCTACAAACATTACATGGTCTTTTTATTTGTCATAAAATACAGGTAGGCATTTGTACAGTGCATTTAGATGAAAACAGAAAGTCATCAGTTTCTCCTTCATATTTTACATTTCACTCTCGACCGAGCTTCGATAACCCTGAGGAAGAAATCGTTATAAAAAAAAGATACGCTAAGATAAAGTCATTCATGTACAAATAAACCAGAACCACATGATCCCCCTCACCAAACACGACCTGAGTTTTTACTAAAGTCAAGAATTTTGTTTTGCTTCTTTGATATTTCTTTTGCCCCCTTGGAAATAATATCTTGATGAAGATATTGCGACTGAAGCACGTTTGATTACACATTGTCTGATAAGAAGCTTTACAGGACTGTAGGAAGGACTGAGGTCAGCAGAAAAGAATGTTCCAGCATGATGTTTAAGTTTCTATATTGACGTTTACAAATACTTGAGGTAAAACTTGTACTATTCCACAACATCATCATGAGCAAAAATTAGTGTTTCTGACGTTTCAAGCTGAGAAATGTTTCACTTTTACTAGCTTCTAACTTTGCTCAGTTCCATTTACCATCCAATAAAACTTCACCTTGACAATTTGTAAGCGCAACGTAAACAGACAACTCCTCTCATTTTCATTTGATTTGGTTAAAGTCGAAAAGGGAAGGGTGTGAGAGAAAAGCTTTGAGAGGGTACACAATTCAAACAGAAGTTAATTATTTCTAGGCGGCTAATAAAGTTCACAAATTCAACAAACTGATTCACTACTTAACGCTTTAACTATTTCAAACATGTCTCTTCTTTGCTAAACATCCGAGGCAGGGAGTGACACATAATTGTGTCCTGTTGCTGTTCTGGTAGCTAATAACCGGGCCTTTGTGTCCCTTTATCAGTTTGGTGTATCACCATGCCGAGTATTTCCTGGTGTTTGACATTTTATCGTCTCTTTTAAGATAACCCAGTGCCCTGTGTCATCATGTTGACTGAAATGATTTCATTCATTGCATAGATTTGATCATTTCTCCCCCTAGTTATGTTTGCAGGATTAGCTACGAATCATTCCCTGAAAGACAAAGCTTATATATTATACTGCAGTTTCCGCAGTTTCCTCGCTCGCTTTGATGTCATTTGGCTCCTGTTGCGTGACGTGTTTCATCTGAACTTCACGATGCATCAAGCGATGTTTTATTGCCTTGGCAGGTCCATGGAAATGAGCCATAAAGATAAGCGAACACGATCAGAAGAAGGAGGGGCTCTTGTAAACGATGTAATAGATAGTTGGAGCGGCACTCACGTTCATATAAACTCAAAAATTGCATAACTTTGGAGTAAAATGACGCAATGAACAATGGATGGTGTCTTAGCTTTAAGATGTCCCGAATGGCTCAGAAACGTGAAGCTTAAGGAGGCCAACAAGAAGGCAAACAAAACTTTGAACACTGATTTTTATTCTGTGGTTTCAGTTAGAAAAATGCTAAACAAGCTAGGCTAGCAGCTCTGCACGGCTGTATGGGCATCAGCTAAACACTAACAATATCATGCTAACACGCTCACAATATAAGCTGACATGATGCTATTTGAAAGGTATAATGTCTACTGTGTTTACAATCTTAGCCTAGCATGTTAGCATGGTGAAGTTTAGCTGTGTTGTCATTAAACTAATTCAAAGACTTATCCCAGATCTCCAAAGTGATTATTGTTCATTCTTTGGGGATCACAAATGTCTGCACAAGATTTCATAATATTCCAGGAATATTTGATGACATCACACGCAGTAGGCTTCAACACGCCGTGTGTTTCCAGCTTTTTTCCAGTGTACTATGTTCACTAACATTGTGAAGGTTTGATAAATGCTATCTTTATAATTCAGATAAAATAAGAATAAGACGACATACAGTAGACCCACATCCTACCTGAGGGGGAGCGGTGTTTATGACCTATAATGCAACAAGTCAGAAGGGAGTGCTTTAAATCTTTTGGCTTCACTTGAGCACGGTATTCCACTGTCCATTCTCATACAGTCTTTGAGACATACAGTACATATTGACTCAGGAGACATATATTGAACTTTGAGTGAAATAAACATTGTGAAGAATGTTTAAACCCTCAAAACGACTCACTACTGAGCATCATCTTTTCTTTCTGGTGCTTTATTCTGTCTCAACTTCATGGTTAATGAGAGTAACCTCAGTGATTCTCGAGGCTTAGATAAAAGTTTGAAATAAAATGAAATGAAATCAGATTATTGGACCAACGAACCCTGAGAACCACAGAAATTTAAATTAAAAGTCAACATGACACACAATTGAATTTTCTGTCTTCTAAAACGTAATGCACAATAAAAACTTT